ACCATCGTGTTGAATTCCAGGTGTATTCATCACGATGGGCTAAGTGACCTGCGTTTTTATTCACACCTATTCTGGTGCCCCGCCAGTGTACACTGCTAGCGGAGGCGGGGTTACATCATTGAAGCATCAATTAAAAAAAAATTGCGAAATCACCAGTATTTTAAAGTAACTCATTCCTTAAAACATTCATTAAAACTAGTGTTAATAATATAAGGTTATAAAAACATTTATTTTTTCCTAAAAAAAAAATATTTACTAAAAAAGAAAAAATAAATTTAAAATCTCGAGAAAAAGAACAAATTATATCTATAACTGGTCATATACGAGTATAATAATAGGTATGTACATACCTTGTACTGTAATCGTATTGTAGCAACCGTTAACTGTCCACTGCTGAAGAGGGGTTTTGCCAGTAGTTGCCACGCTTGGCAGGCGGGTTGGCAACCGTAGATAGGCTTTGGATATGATTTAAGAGGGACGCTGCTGCCTTTCCCTCGACCATTCACTTCTTATAGTGGCCTCTTACTACACCCACGGGAAGGGAAGGGTTGACCAATTCTATGCCGGGACCACACGGCAATGGTGTGTAGGAATGGGTTACGTCAATTAACACTATAAATATTAATATAATATAATAATACTATAAATGAAGGGGAAATGACTGCATTTCCCCTTCTGCGGGTGTTCGAAAGGTTAAAAAAATCTTAGAACAATTAGTTACAACACCTGTTATTTGAGCTATTTTGAATTTCTACAACGAAACTGAGGGCCTACCATGAAATGTTTTCCGAAATTTCAAAGCCAAACGAAACAAATTTGATGTTAAAATTACATAATACATGCCGTTTGGAAATATTAAAAATGTTAAAATATTGTTCCTTTGGACTTTTATGATAGGATGTATGACGAACGAAACGTTAAACTGCATTTATTGGGTCCGATTTTGGTATAAACAAAAACACGAAATTGAGTCTGAAATTTCGGAATTTCATTTGATGGTAGACGCGTTGATGCTTAGTCATACCGTTTCAAACCTCAAGTTGTTTGCTCAGTTGCCTTGACATTTCAAAGCAATTCTATCGTTAGGCGCTAGGGTGATTACGTCAGGTAGGTACCTTGTGATCAGGAAGTTTTTAAATTGAGGACCTTGCGGCCCTAGTCACTCACCCACGCACCTGCACGTATCGTTTGTACTATGTAATTCAATATTCTACTATAGGCTAGTTAAGCGAAAATTTCACAGGAATTTCGTTAGCTTTTTGGAAATCCTTTTACTATTTACGAACTATACTAATTATGTAATAAATAAGTGGATAAACTCAAAAACTACTCGGCCGATTTTAAACATTCTTTCATCTATAATAAGCTACATTATCAGAGAGTATTATAAGCTATGTATTATTTTGGAAAAATGTATCTAACCGTGCGAAGAGAGGCCGGATCGCTAGTATGAAATACTTAAGCGAATTTCACAGAATCCTTATCCGAATTCATATTTAACCGCTCCCTTCATGGAAAGAAGTAACCGTCTTGTTCTGACATGAATACCTATGTGTGGGGGGAAAGGGACTGTTAGTAATGGAGACTGAGAATCTCATTGCTAGCAATATACCCAACCAGGTTGACCTCCTTGCGGTTACCCCTGGAAACTATCATGGTTAATTCCTGATGAATTCATCATGATGGGCTAACTGACGTGTTTTCATTCTCATCTATCACCCTTCACTGGTGCTCCGCCAGCGTATCCCGTTAGCGCAGGCGGGGTTATCATACCATTTTCACCCATCAAAAAAAAAATTAACTGTGTATTTTTTTTACAACACGGGGCAAACGAGCATGCGGCTCACCTGATGGTAAGTGACTACCGCCGCCCATGATCACCCACAACACCAGCGTCCGATTCATAATAACATCAAATCAAAATTTTTAACTATTGGTGTATTACATCACATTTTTTCGAGCTAATTTTTTTATAGCTATGACTACCCCATTAGGAATTATATTCATAAACATATTAATATTATTACCAGAGAAGAGCTTTACCAGAGGGAGACTTTGTACAAAAGTCGATTGCTTGGTAACTTGATCGATTGGTACCTTTGTCCCCATTCGTGTTTCAACCGTAAAGCAGTTGTTTTTTTTAATGGATGATAATGGAATGGTAGCCCCACCCGCGCTATCGGTATACACCGGCGGGGCACCAGTGAAGGATGATAGGTGAGGATGAAAAAGGTTAGTTAGCCCATCGTGACGAATTCAACAAGAATTGTTCATGATGGTTTCCAGGGGGAATAACGTGGAGGTCGACCTAATAAGGCATATTGCTAGCAATGGGGCTGTCAAATTCCATTGCTAACAATCTCTTCCCCCCCCCCTAAGCAGTTGTGTTTGCATGTTTCGGTTTGAAGGGTGGGATATGGCGTGAATTTACTGGGTACGGAGGAATAACACCCGAGTCCTCAGGAATGGCAACGCATGGGGTATCATGGGCGAAACAGTATATTCTGTTATGTCCATGGTACTGCTCATGCCTATAGGCGACGGTTACCACTTTCCATCAGGTGGGCCGTCAGCGTGTTTGGCATTCTAAGTTGTATAAAATAATAATAATAAAATAGTAACAGAAAGATATACATAAAAAAAATTATATAATTTTTTTTTTACAAATTTTGTATGTTTATTCCGGTATTATGCAAAAATTATAGCATCGAATTAAACGCTGTTTTCACTAATGAGTTTAACTTAAAAACTGGTGTATGCTTAATTTTGATACACCGTGCAGAAGTAGTTTAATTACTTAGTATTAGTACTTCCTAAACCTGCGCATGCGAAGTAGCGGGCTAAAATTAGTTTATAATATTAAACATTTAAATCCTTGCTGCTCACTATCGAGTGATTGAGTAACAGATATCTTTACATATACTTTTAACATTTATAATATTTATTTATAATATTACTATAATATTTTTCACCTTATGCATTTGGCATTTGATAATGTTACGAAATTCTTTTTTTTTTTTATTTATTTTTATTAAAGTTCACACTTTACCATAATTCTAAACATGTCAATGATTGTATGTATTAATTAATCAAATCAACACATGTACATATACATATATCAGTATCTATTTTTTTTTTTTATTATTACATTTTAATTTTAATTTTTATTTTCCTCTGTAATTAGTAGATAGTTTCTTTTGTTGTAACATATATATGAACGTAATATGTACACCGTGGTATGTGTGTTTCTGTATGTGTGTGCGCGCGCGCGCGCGTGTTTGTGTGTGTGTGTGTCTGTGTTTGTATGTGTATGTATATATATGTATGTATATGTATGTGTATGTATGTGTGTATATGTATATATGTGTATATGTATATATGTGTGTATATGTGTATGTATGTGTATATGTGTATGTGTATATATATATATATATATATATATATATATATATATATATATATATGATTATCCATTTTTTGTTGTTTAAATTATATTGTGTTTACAGACTTTAGCTGTGTGTTTATGTTTTGATCATGCCGTGTACGCAAAGTTTTGGAGGATTAGCTTGAACAAAACATAATTGTAGTTTATAAATTAATGTAACTATGTTAATTCTCTGTAATGTGTACCTATTGAAATAAAATAAAATAAAATATAATAGTTACAAGTTATAATTTTTAAATTTTAACAAATATAATTAATTGAGATTACTGCCCCATTATTACTAGATTAGAATCATGTATGTTTTCTCACTGTGATTATTTCTTGTAATTATTTATATTTATAATAAGTTTACTATTGTAATCTTTTGGAGGAAACAATAAAGAGTATCTATCTATCTATCTATAAAGGACCAATTGAAAAATGAAATTGTTATTCAAATGTCAGATTTCAAGCCTGCATCTGTATTAAGAGATTTTCAAAACATTCTATTAAGAATCTTATTTGATAAGAAGTAACTGACATATTTGTAAACTATAAGAGTACTTTTAAAATTAGTATTGAGCAATATTTAAAATTTTGGTATTAACCCTCTACTACGTATACATATCTATCAAGGTGAAAGCGAGGAATTGATTGATTCAGACATCAATACAGTCAAACTGCAGCTTCAGTAATGGACGTAATAATCTAACAGTATGTGTGAAAACCTATAAGTCTACATTAACATTATGCAATGTAAACATTAAACACTTGCCACTTCATTGGGCACAGCGTTTGACAAATAGCCACGAGCAACCTTGAAACTAATCAAACCTTAGACACGTGATAACCAACCTTATTCACAGAGCAATTAAGTTCAAGTGTACACGTTCAAAATGCACAACTAAGACTGTAATGACCTTGTCTCTCATCAGTTCCATCTGGCATCAGCCTCCGCACGCTACAAATTGTTCACTACATAAAAACTATTCTCAGATAATTATTAAAAATTCTAAATAACATTTTTAAATGTATGAAATGGGAATGTGCCAATCTAGGTATGCACCTAAATACTTGTGCAATATTATTGAATTTGATGAATTGATTATGCAAATTAAATAAATGTTAATAATATTCAACTGTTAGTTCAATTGATGACTTTCAAATAAATAAAGCAAAATAAAAGCGTTCAGATGGGAAATAAAAATTTCAAGAAGAGTTTGTAGCGAATAGATACACCAAATAAGTATGGTCGATATTTGTACATTTAGGTGATGGTCACACCAACGATGCCAAGACTAAGCCATGAGTGGGTCAATGTGAGGCTAGGTACAACATGGCTCACAACATCGACGCGATGTTTACGGTGTGTGATGGACGAAGTTAACGCTGACACCTACGCTGCTGGCTCACCCCCCCCCCCCCCCGCCCCCCACCAATGACTGGTCTGCCGGGTGCGATGGACGGTGAGCATCAGCAGTGGTGATGAGCGTGAGCGAGTGCGCGCGTGAGGCATGCGCGCCGCAACAACCACAAAGCTAATGAGGAGCGAACAATGTGTTGACTGACGACTCACCGAAATGAGACGTTATATTGCCATGGCCGTTGGCCAGTGGCAAGGCCGTCACCAAGTCTTGCACTAAAAAACAACGACTCTAGTTTAACATTGCAAAATTACAAATTATCACTTTATTACACAGCAAGTTAGCGGCTCGCAAATATACGGCGCTCTAGCGCCTTATCAATGTAGAATTCATTTAGATATAAATTTTTGTTCAAAGCAAACTTATCATAAACGTGGATTATGGACTTTCAGCAATATACTAAAAATGAGATGTAAAACTATTCATTCTGCATCTTTTTATTGCATACATATTCAATTGTTTGGTAGCTGGCAATTTACGGCTCATAATGACCTTAGCATCACTAAAAATAGGTCATGCTGATAACAGATTCTGATAAGAATCTTACAGGAATAGTATAGAGATTAGCTGAATCGACCATAATTCGCTGTCAATGTTATGCTCGCTTTGTCAAGTAGGTACATAAGTACGCAATGAAGTAAATCAACATAATGTAATAGGTAGGTATAGTGTGTGGTTGAAAGATGCAATGCTTACCGGAGCTGAAGTGGGATCTCTTGATATCTCCATTTTCTGAATCGCCGTCAAGAGGTCGTTTCCTTGAGTCCGTGATTTCCGGACTAGGGCAAGTATCCATTCCCGTGTCAGCGGCCATGTTGGATTTCAGGGCAAAACTTTAAACTTCTCTAGCATAATTCCCATTACGTAATTGCTTCAAAATGCGTATACTGATGCGGCACTTTGCATTATTAAAACATCATATGTTACACTTAACACTTAAACAACTAAAAATGAAGAAAATTGAAAATTTATATGGTCTAAATACTAAAATAAGGAGAGAAGTGACACTATAAGGTTATTACGTCTAAACGTTTTATGAACGTTTGCCGATACTGCGGTTGTCGAGTGGCACACAACCAACATGAAGTTATAAGTAGATGTCACGACACCATGTTGGTAGTTCTGAGTTGACAGCAACCAGCTGATTACTTTAGTGATGTACTTAACAGATACTTATTACCAGTATTTTTATAATTAACCTCTTAAACTTTATGAATTGAGAGATATAGCACAAGCAGGTGCTTCGCAACAAAAACAGTTATAACTAACAGTTGTTAGTAACTTTAAAAAAATCATAAGCGATTGTCGATTGCAAAAAAAATTATTAAAATCGATTTAAAATTGGCAAACGTAAATAACGCGTGAGCTTTTCTCTAGATAATTTTAATTTACCTTTTAGTTTTGGAAAAATAAAAAAAGTACGATATAAATATTAGCAAATTTTAAAAATGAAATAAATTAATTAATAAATAAGAAGACCCTATTAATGAATATTAGCTCTAGTTTTAAAGAATGGACCACGATAATGAGCATACTCTATAATAAATCTATTATATGATTAATTTGTGAAGAGTGCGTGAAAATTTAAAATTAATTGTAGTTGATGTTCTTATCAATCTAGGACATGACCTGCTTTAATTTTTTGCATAATTGGCGTATTTAAGATTATTTTTCAGAGAGAATTACTACTGTAATTTTTATTGTCATATAAATATTTTTGTATTATAGCGATATCTTTGTAACAACCCTGTCTAACTTGTTTATTAAAACATGCAATGAGGATTGTATCAGTCTAAATATAATAATCGAGGATAAGTAGAACATCGATAAATATATTGGCTACAACACTAAAAGTACATAATGCGCCAAGGTCAATCAGAACCAATCAGAGAACGTTACTAACTTCCGTCATGTTGACGTATTTTTGCGGGATATTTAAATGACGAAACAAAAATTTATTATATACGCTGGCTAAATGTAGTTGTATAAAATTGAATGTTCACAGGTCATTTTTAAAAGTTTAAAGGGTTAAAAAAACTGTGACAATCATCAGATAAATTATTTCTCTCAAATAGTAAATAATTCCATTAATTTAAACAAAAACAAACAAATTAAAATATATGAGATATGTGAAGGAGATATTCGTTTTACACAATTATTGAGTGTAATTTATATATTTTTTTAATTCACCAATTTACGTAACTACAACTTTTACCTATGACTATAGAAAGCACTAGGGTACCGACGCATGTGTATAGTTCGTGATATCTAGGTCAAGGCACTCGTCGTGTTCCTTTCTCGCTTTTACAACTGGTCACTGGATTAGGTCATAAAGGAATGAATACCTACGGAAAATTGAACTTTTTGTACATGGAATCGAAAAGAAAAATGAATAAGCGTTGAAACACAATTTATACGGTTATTAGGCGTTAGGTTTTTCTGCGCCCTTGAGGTTACGTGATGAATTAATTATAAATGGGCTATAAAATTATGACATTGAACAAGTAAAAAAATGTGTATTTTTTATATATTGTTATATTTATTGTACAATTTCCGTTGTTGAATCCAACTTTAAGTCATATTTACAAATAAATATTACATAATTTGCTTTCAATCTTTATAATTTTGTCGATAAAGCTCCGATAGAGGGCGTTACAAATAAATATATGTGGTGGGGGAAGTAGAAATGACAGTTTCGATTGCAAAATTATTTATTAAAATATAAACTTGGTACAAGAATATATTTATCACGGGCTTAATCTAAAACTGACTAATAACGCCGCCTGTCGACACTTCATCTGTCGCAGTATAAATGAAGATGAATAGAACAAATGACAAATCAAGGTATCGTAACAAAGCACAGCGTTAGCGATACGCGTTTAAAATTGAAATACACAAACGTAAAACGAGTATTAAAAGATTATTAAATAGATATTTCGTAAATACGTAACGTATGTTTCAGTCTCTCATTACACTCTATAGATCACGACATAAAATTAGTATTAGAGAATCAACAAGGAAGGAAACCATTTCGAATTATAAAACAATAATAAAAAACGTATGAATATTAGCGAAATATTTGCGTAACTTACACAGAACAAATACAATCGAATTGAGAAGCTGCTTCTTTAAAATCGGTTATAAAACTCACATTTTTTTATACAACAACTAAATACACCATTACCATTCAAACGTTACAATACAACGTTGTAATAGAAATGCAAAAATAGAATAATTTATTGTAATTGTAGTGCAGAGAATCAGCGGCGTCAACGTAGTTTGTATTGGCAGTGCTTCCTTCGCTGAATAGTATGGCCACTCTATCTATCCTATTTAAGAGCTGCGCTCTTGTCGGTGGAGCTCTTGCCACTCACTACGATTTTCAGCGAGTCTCTTCACCTCTTGATACGACACGACACCAACTCCTTCCTTGATCTGCCTGATGTAACTATTCCTTGATCTCCCTCTTCCCCTCCTTCCTTCTATCTTACCTTCTATTACAATGTTCATATGTTCGTCGTGTCGTATCAGTATGGCCACATGCCTGCCTTAACCAACAAATGTTGTCTGCATAATTTCGGTTACTTCGGACACATTATTTTGGTAGCTTTAACGCTATACATATATGAAAATTAAGTACGGTCCATAACCAGCGATTAACAAAAACTTTTTATTTAGTGGAAGCAGTCACGTGTGCTGTTCTATCACGGCATGCTTTCAATTTCAGTTTTAATAAATGATACTAATCTATTAATTTTGTATGGAAGAAACATTCACGTATATAAAAAAAATGAGATAAAGACCTACTATAAAAGTTTAACTGAATGCACTCTATATTCAACCAAATTCTGCTAATTATAATTATTCAGTGACATTTTAAAATTCCAATTTTAAAAACTCTGTAAAAATATAATGTTTAGACATGCCAGTTTCATATTTTAAGTAACAGAAATCAGTGATACATTTAAACGTAAGTTGTATGGGAATGTGGAACGTAGGCTTTTTTTATAACAATGTGAAGACGAATTTTCTAGAGGGCAGTGCCCGTCCATCGACCATTGGGCCTTTCAGACCATGGTGCGAATCGCTCAAAGATTTTTATAGTGGGGCAATTCGCACCACAGTGCTTTTTCAATTGAATGATTATAAAAATAGAGCGGTACAAATAACTCTAATATGCGTGGTCTATTCACACCATAGACTGAATCGTTCGTGGTGTGAACTGGCCATAGACTATCTAAGGACGCAGTGGAGGCTGCTATCGTGCTGCGAGCACGGGCGGCACGGCGGCTGCAAGCGGCGAGGACACTGGCGCCTCGAGTGGGACGAGCCCGTACGTGAGCCACCAGGAGAGCACCGGCTGCACTATGGACACGAACAGCAGGAAGTACACGCGCCGCTTGGTGCCAGCCCCGCCCCGCCCCGCCCACGTGTCCACGTAGGGGTTGGAGGCGCCGTACGCGGGCTGGTAGCCGTAGGGCGCCTGCTCCGCGGCCGCGGACTGCGATCCCGCTAATACTTGTACCCTTAGGGTTTTAACCTGGAAATTCAATTATTATTTTTGACAAATCGCAAACGAGTGTGGTGACAGAGAATATAATGCACCACCATTCCTACGCCAATGAAGAGAGCTCTGTTTCCAGTAGTGGCACGTTTTGAATTGACTGTGATGATAATAACATCAATAATTTAAAATAGAAATGTTTATAATACATAATATAATATTAGGTGATTACAGCACGATTTGTGAGGTACCATTCTCTGGTGGTATAAGTTACAAGGCTGACTGAGAGGCCCTTGGAAAATAAGACTTGACAAACGCTTTTTGTTCTTCCAAAATTCTTAATACAAATATTCAATATTTGTACAAGGCTAGTCCACATGGGCCTATTGGACCCATGAGAATAACTTACTGTCCAGTGTATGGACACAGTACAACACATAACATAAAGCGAACACCACCTTTTATATCATCATCATTACAGTCTTTAACTATCCATTGCTGAACATAAGCCTCCCTATTTGGGAGTTTCACTAGTAGTTGCCACGCTTGGCAGGTGGATTGGCAACCACAGTCAGGCTTTGGAGATGTTTTAAACCGGATGCTGCTGCCCATCTCTCGTCCTCCCATAGTCGACTCTTAAGACACCCATGGAAAGGAAGGGGCGACCTTTCATACAGTACAAATTTTTTTTTGATGGGTGAAAATGGTATGGTATCCCCACCTGCGCTAACGGGATACGCTGGCGGAGCACCAGTGAAGGGTGATAGATAAGAATGAAAACAGGCCAGTTAGCCCATCATGATGAATTCATCAGGAATTAACCATGATAGTTTCCAGGGGGAACCGCGAGGTGCGACCTGGTTGGGTATATTGCTAGCAATGGGATTCTCAGTCTCCATTAATATAGTTCAAATTTACTCACCAAGAAATAAGAGAGTGTGCAGCTGGTATAGATGAGGCAGCAGTAATATCCCGTCTTGCCCAGCAGCAGCCCGGCCAGCAGACTGCTGATCATCACCGTGTACTTGTATCCGGAGAACGCCAGTAGGTCCAGCGTCTTCAGGTTGGTGCTCGTGTTCGTGATGTACAACGTCAGCAGGTATATGACCATTTCGAAGATTATATACGCGAGGGCACTCGATGATTGGATGCCTATTTGTTCTGGTGAGAAGCGGTGCTGGAGACCTGCAATTTATTACAATATATATATATATATATATATATATATATATATATATATATATATATATATATATATATATATATATATATATATATATATATATATATATATATATATATATATACAGTCAAATCACACAGATTGAGCTAGCCCCAAAGTAAGTTCGAGACTTGTGTTATGGGATACTAACTCAACGATACTATATTTATAATAGATACATATATAGATAAACATCCAACACCCAGGCCAATCAGGAAAAGATCGTTTTCCATCATGACCTGGCCGGGGTTGAACCCGGAGCCTCCACGTCGCAGGCAGGCGTGTTGACCGCTGCGCCACGGAGGACGACAATGACTTGTTTTTACCTACGACCTCCATCGTGTTACCAGAATAATAGTCTATGTCCTTCTCAATTCCAAATATGGTGTGTATACCAAATTTTATTGTTATTTGTTGAGCCTTTGAGAAGCAAAGAGGTAATTAAAGGATATACAAGGCCTTTGTCTAATTTACAGGGTACAGAGGAATAACATATGAGTCCTCAGGAATGGCAACGCATGGGGGGTATCATGGGCGAAACAGTATACTCTGTTATGTCCATAGTACTGCTCATGTCTATAGGCAACGGTTACCACTTTCCATCAGGTGGGCCATCAGCTTGTTTGCCATTCTAAGTGGCATAAAAAAAAAAAAAAAAAAAAAAAAAACATACTTGGTGAGGCATTGGTATATCTATGGTTATTTTTTTTTTACAGTTTACTAATGATTTGGTTGAATATTACGTTAAGAAAAAAATTTATAGTAGTGTTCTATAATCTATTTCTTCTTATCAGAATAAAAACTATACTGCCTCTCAAGTTAGGGCAAACAATATACAATTACAAAACACCATTAAAATCGGTTGAGCAGTTGCGGAGATTAGCGTGAACGAACAACACGAGATTTTTATATATTACTTAAATGAAATCAAATTTAGTATTACTGAGACAATATAGACATGAATCATTAGAATTTTTTACAGATCTCAGTTTTAACCAAGTATATTCACGACCATCATATTGGTGCAACTTACCCAGCATGAAGCCAGCGAGAAGTACGTAGGTGACGTAGCCCATGCAGGGTATGTAGAGGTCCGGCGCATTGATGTCATACCGCGGCTGCACCGGCAAGTCCTGGTCGTATTTCACCATCCACTCCTGCAATATTGAAACAATTCACATTTTCCATTGTTTTTACACTTTTAATGAATTGCTCATGAACGTAACTGTATTCATTCTCTGACAGCATTATCAGATCAGTACAAATACATACTTTATGACCTTGATGCTCTAGTGGTTTAATACACTGCCTCATACCTTGGTTCAATTTCCATACAATACAAACGAAACATTTGTATCCAGTAATAAAACTAAGTTAAGAAGTTTTTAATTGGGCTAATTAAAAGAACTTCTGGGACTCCATCAGTACATATTTAAAAAGCATACAAAATAAAACAAACCTTATGTGTAAACGGGAATATTAATAGTAGAAGTTTCCTGAAGACGTATCTGGTGTCTACAGCAAAGTAGTACCGCAACCGAGAGACTGGCACAAACTTATTCAGCTCCCGTTGCATCACCTCACGCCCCTGGGCTGCGAGTTGGTTGCCGTATTGCAATGCCATATCCTATAAGAAGACGAGGACAAAAGATAAGAGAAAATAGAATAAAGCTGGAGATGGCTTTATCCAGTTATCATTATAAAAAGTTTTTTTTTTATTTATTTTTATTTTATTTAGTTGGCGCACATAACAGAATTTTACAAATATAAACTTAAAATATATTTTGCAAATAAATTAATATACTGTTCAGGTAAACTTGCCATTACATGTGCACTCAGCATGCTTCAATAATAAATATGACTGTAACAAAGTCATTCAGTTGCAATAAAGAATGAAACATAATTTTACATTAAACTTTCAAAAATAATTTGTAATAAAAATTAAAATAGAAAAAAAAAATACAAATGGAAGTCAAATAAAAAACAAAACAAAAGTTAAATGAATTATTATTCTTCCATCCAAACATTGCCTGGAAGAGATAGCTCTTAGTGATAAGGCCACCCATTGTTTTCTCAGTATAATATTTTCTTGTAATTGTATTTATAAGTTTACTATTGTAATCTTATGGAGGAAACAACAAAGAGTCTATATCTAGTGAAACATTCTTATTTATTTGCAAGAAACATGCTAGCTAGCACATAGACGTTAATAGAAGTACCCAAACTGATAACTTTTGTAGTCTCCCTCTGGTATTAGAGCAAAAAATAGGAATTCAATAATAAATTAAATCATAGTTTTAGTTTATCTTACTAATCAAGTTATAACTAGACAATGTCTGTATATAGGAGATATATAAGAAAAATTTGTATAAGGGGCCTCAATAAAGCCAATAGATATCAAAACAGTAAGTAACAGTTTGTAAATTTTTATGTTATTTAGACCAAATTGAATGTATTTTTCATAGCTCTGTTTTTAAAAGTCTAACTTAAAATCTAGTATATGAGTTATTATGATACACTATCTAGGAGTGGTTTATTTTAATTGTTATCCTATTTTGAGAAATCAATATATATGAATTAGTCACCAAAAAACTACTTTTATATATAGATTTGGTTGCACATTACCTGGACAATAGGCTGCTGTAACATTGACCCTATTTGAGCAGGGGATGCCATAGGCGCCTGTGGAAATCCACCCATGTAGCTATAATCTGCAAAAAATATAATTAACTTCTAAATAAAAACAATAAACACAATTATACTCCAGTTATAATATTATGGAATGCAAATAAATAAACAAGAATCAATATTCCACAAAATATAACATTTAATTTAAAAAAAATGTTTATAAACACTCACTTGTAGGAGGTATTGGAGAACCAAAGTCCTGAGTTGTTTCTAATTGTATTCCTTCTTGGTATGGGGGTGGTGGAGTGGGGTGTGAATATGGTGGATTATACGCTGGCCCCGGGCTGAAGGCGGGCGCTGGCGATGGAGACCCCATAGCCGAAATATCGCTGACCCGTTTCGCCTTCCGAATACCCCCGGCCTGATTAACTATAGTAAAAATTGCAATAATTAATATCACATGTCGTTGTAACACCCATATGTACAATTTATATGTTACACAAATTTACCGTTTCGAGAAGCGTTAAAATTCATTACAGTATATGTTTACTGGCTACAAAATAATGATAACATAATATATTGATTCATTTGTTCAATTTATTATAAGATTTTAGTGATTCAAACACATCACCAACATCTGTCGAGTTTGATTGACATAATGACTGCTAATAGTCTGACAGCTGTCATTGTCAGCCATACGAAAATAAGGTTGACATTTTTGTATATAAAGATGCTGATATTATTCTTATTCTATGGCCCCCGTAAATGTATATGACGTCTATATTATATAATACATATATACAAGAGCAACACGAGTGAGAATTTGTTTTTATCAATATAATTACTATTATTTATGTTATAATCTTATCTCTGCGTCTTGTGTTATCTGTTCCTGAAAAGGTCTGTCAATCTTTGTGTCAATCATTGATTAGTGCTGGAATCGATTGTGTATTAATCGAATTTTAATTATAACTATAGCGAAAATTATATATTTTTTAATGGAGGATAATAGAAAGATAACCCTGCCTGCGGTAATCGAATATACCGACAGAAACTAAAAAAAAAAAATACTTTCCATTATAATTTGATCTTAGTGTGTAATGCTACCTATTGTTTTAATAGTGAATTAGAAAACTTGCTTCAGCATTTGCTAATGATACTATTTTTTCCCCCACAATAGCATCCACATAAACAATGCGATTAATTAGAAAGAGAGCGGTGACTCTTTTTTAAATACTCATCTACCATCAATTAAATAAATAAATTTCTTACTGGTGCTTCACTGGCGTATACTGCCTGGACAAGCGAGACTACCATTTCAGTTTACCCAGTAAAAAAAAATTTGAAATCGATTATATCGATTAATAATCTTTCGCAATGAATATTGAGTAAATGTCAATCACTATAATATCTGTCCATTTTGTTTGGTTTTTATTTATTCAATTGAAATTTGTTTAGATTGGAATAGGTCTATTAATTACAAAACTTATTTTTACACTCGTACTTTTGAAAAGTCTATTTGTATTTAGACTTTCGGGCGTATTTTAAACATGGCGTTAACTAATGTGCTCTTGTTGAGTCAGATAGCAGGATATGTGATTGGTTTCATCCTGTCTCTTTGTATTATTGTACCGCTGAGTATGCATCAGGATGAATTTAGGTATGTAGCACGCCTATCTGTTGCATGAAAAAATATGTTTTTTTTTTAATGGATGATAATGGAAGGGTCATCATTGCTGAAAATGTGGGTGTAGAGTATCTGTGTATATGTATTCGTGAGAATTTTATCACACAACAATACATACTTGGGGGAAAAGGATTGTTAGTAATAGGGACTAGCCGCCCTATTGCTAGCAATATACCTTGTAAGTTCGACTTCCTCGTGGTTTCCCGTGGAAACTAACGTGATTAATTCCTTATGTTTTTACAATCATGGGTCAATTGATCTGTTTTCATCGTCACTTATCATTCCTCTCTGACTCACTGGCCCCACCAGTGTATACCGATAACGACTCCATGTGTGCTATTGGTACAAAGCCATTTTTTTTTTATTATATCAGCTATTAACCGTTTACGGCTGAATACGAGGTTTGTCCGGAAAGTACGTATAAAAGTTTTTTAAAAATTTTATTTTACAATTATTCAGGTAAATCAATTTTATCCCCTTCAAAGTACTCCCCCTGTGACATAATGCACTTGTGCCAACGCCGTTTCCACTGTGAGAAGGCTCCTTGAAAGTCCTCTGGTTGTAGGTTTCTCAGCTGCCCCGTCGTAGCTTTTTTTATCTCATTTATGTCCCCCAAATGCCGCCCCCGAAGTACCAATTTGGTTTTTGGGAACAAGAAGAAGTCACACGGGGCCAAATCCGGCGAATAGGGGGGGTGTTCGGTCACCGTAATGGAATTTTTACTCAAAAACTCACGGACAACAAGAGAGGTGTGGGCAGGGGCATTGTCGTGGTGAAGAATCCAACGCCCCTCTCGCGCCAATTCTGGACGAACTCGTGCCACACGAGCTTTGAGGCGTCTGAGCACATCGACGTAGAATTTTCCATCAACTGTCTGGCCTGGAGGGACGAATTCTTGATGGACAATCCCCCGAACATCGAACTCTTTCTCGGCCCTCTCTGAATCTTTTTAGCCACTTGTGGACGGTTGGTTCCTTCACAGCATCATCCCCATAAACTGTTCTGAGATCGGTAAAAATTTCACGGCCATTCTTGCCGAGTTTCGAGAGAAACTTGATTACGACGCGCTGCTCTTCAACGGAAGCGGGCTCCATGCCGACGGGGTTTCGTTAAGAGGTAACTTCACAGATGGCGTGACAAGCCAGTTCGCACCGCACGGCGGTCAGACCAGAACTGAAGCATTGTTAGGGACATAAGGAAGGGGTCCTGCGCTTACCTGGCCTCCCCACTCCTCTTTCTCGCATTCCAGAACACTTTTATACGAACTTTCCGGACAGACCTCGTATAGGCTTTTTCTATAGGGAGAGTGCTGACAGTAGTCACCACACTTGGCAAGCAGGTTACCATACCATTATCATCAATTAAAAAAATACATAAGTCTTTCTACTATTCTGGTTTTATATACAATTATGTTTTAGTGCAATTATTTCATTGAGGATATTGTTAAATGTAAAATAAAATTGTAAAATTCTATGGCTGTTGATAAGGAAAAAAATGTAAATAAATGTGTATTGTACTTTATTTTTATCATATTTCATGTACATTTATGTAACTGATAAAACTTATTATTATTATATGCCATACTTTACAAGACTGATTTTATAATATTAACTAATTTTTAGCCAATCTTCAAAGGGAATTTCTGAGCTTTGTTAAATGAAGTAGATAAATAAAAAAGTGAGATAAACCACAGTTAGAATAGTTTAGCTGTTTTTTCTTTATATATATATATATATATATATATATATATATATATATATATATATATATATAAAGAAAAAAAGATGCCTATAAATCAGTGCAGTTCTGTTATTAGAGTATGTTTGCAGCGGTCACTGCCTGTTGTTTTCAAGAGGAGACTGGCAGGAGGACGGCCAGCTGTTAGTGAAGTGGGCATCACGAGCGTACTGTGATTATATTATTGTAGTCGGAGTGCTCATGTTTATTATTTGCTTGGTGCAGATTTACAGGTAACTATTATCCCAAAGAGTCTCTTTTATATAGTTGTTTGTATCAATACTTCCATCTTTTCTATTTTTAAATACTAGTATATTAATTTGTTGTAATAAAATTGATTTTAAAATAGAAACTCATTTAAAAGACATCAATAATATAATGTAACTTAAAATATTTGTAGTTTAGTATTGCCGTAATTTTTTTTTATTTTGTTTGATACTGAGTATGTAATTTTGTAAAATTAAATGCTGTAAATACCTTTAATAGTCATATTGTATGATATTTAATGTTTATTTGTGTATGTTATAATGCAATATACTGTTGGTGTTTCTGTAAATAAATAAATATATATATATATATATATATATAATGTATAATAATAAAATATGCATACTTATGCACACTCTGGGAGGGGGGAAGGGATTGTTAGCAATTGAGTTTGCCAGCCCCATTGCTAGCAATATACCCACTTAGATCGACCTCCACATGGTTCCTCCTGGAAACCATCGTGAACAATTTATGTTGAATTCGTCAGGAGGGGCTAACTGACCTGCTTCAATCTCACTTAACATATCTCACTGGTGCCCCACCAGTGTATACCGATAATGCAAGCGGGTAACCATTCTATTATCACCCATTAAAAAAAAATTCAAACTTTCCTCTCTTGAGAGATGCAGTTGTAGATTTACATACACATTTATACATGTAAGAATCTTGTTACTCAAAATTATAGCCTATGTTTACAAATTTCCAGGTTATCAATGTTCATGTATAAGGGCTTGGACAGTTCCTTCCTCTCAGCGTTCATAGAGGCAGTCGGCTGCGTGATACTGTGTGGCCTCACAGTGGCCGCTGCTGTGATGGTCACCCTCGGCTTCATGACCTGGTGCCAGAACATTGTGGAGCGCTTCCCAAGGTATGTGCAGTGATCAAATCTCTCCCTATAAGATGAAATACAGCTAACTACTACATGAGCCATGCAAATTCATCTCTGTATATATAAATGCTAAAGTTTGTGAGGATGTATGTATGCTAGTAGTTGGAAATAAAAGCTTTTTTTGCTTTTTAAATATAATTTGTGATGACAAAAGAGGATTGTTTTGTTATTTCTGTAAATAAATTCTATTTTTATATCTATGAGCAGTTGTGCTTGCATGGCTGTGTTTCGGTTTGAAGGGTGGGATATGGCGTGAATTTACTGGGTACAGAGGAATAACATCTGAGTCCTCAGGAATGGCAATGTATGGGGGGTATCATGGACGAAACAGTATACTCTGTTATGTCCATGACACTGCTCATGTCTATAGGCGATGGTTACCACTTTCCATCAGGTGGACCGTCAGCTTGTTTGTCATTCTAAGTTGTATAAAAAAAAATAGAATAAAATGTTGATGTCAGATTTTCTGACCTTCCTGCTTGTAAATGACATTTTGCCAGACTTCTGCTCATTTTATGACGAATAACATGATGTTTCAGTTGCGAGGATGCAGCTGGTCAGAACATAGACAGCAAGGACAATATATCCACAAATGGATTCTATGTGGAAATAGGCACAGCACAGGTATACATATTTTTATAGCTATCTTGTTGATATATTTTTATGATACCTACCTATGATGTTTACACAGGCATCGTTTTATTGTTTTTATAATTCATCATTATTATCTTATCATCCGTTAACTGCTGAACATAGGCCTCCCCCATAAGGGGGGGGGGGGGGGAAGGGGGAGTTTGCCAGTAATTGAAATGCTTGGCAGGCGTTTTGCGAACCACAGTTACGCTTTGGTGATGTTTTAAAACGGATGCTGCTGCCCATCCCTGTACCGTTAAGCTCCCTTAGTCTATGCTAGGACCACATGGCAGTACTATAGATAAATAGATAGATACTCTTTATTGTTTCTTCCAAAAGATTATAATAGTAAACTTATTATAGACAACAAAAAATTACAAGAAATGATCACAGTGAGAAAACAATGGGCGACTTTATCGCTAAAAGCGATCTCTTCCAGGCAACTTTTGGATGGAGTGGGGTTCATATTACCCAGTAATAACACAGCTCAATCAATTGTTATGAAATTTGGTATATACATATAGTACTTGGGACAAAGAACATGGACTTTTTTTTTATTTTAATCTATTACGGTTCTCATAAAGATGTTGCAGGTTTAAAATATAATGTATAATTATAAGTATTTTAATAAACATATTTGTTTGCGAGCGCAGTTCGGCGCGTGGGGCGCGTTCGCGACGTGGGTGGGGCTGGCGGTGTTCTCGACGCTGAAGGTGTGCCGCTACCACCAGCTCGAGAACATCCAGGTGTCCATGTACCGCGAGCGGCAGCGGCTCGTCAACGAGGGCGACGCCGCGCCCGCGCTCGCCGCCGACGCCGACGCCGAGGGCCGCAGCACGCCGCCGCGACCCGCCTCGTAAGCCCACCCATGGTTTGTATTACAAGTATTTGCATTTTCAAAGAGCACGTTCTCTATTCACCAATTTTAAACCGGTTTAGATCGAACAGGTTAGTCCATTTAATTTTGTCACGTTTGTAATAGATTATTTTTGTGGGACAGTATTGAAAGTTCAAAATTAATTTTTGGGGTATGGCTGGGTAATGTAACAAGTGCTAATATAGAGACACTAGTTATGGCTCTTTCCCCATTTAAGTCTACAGTTTTGTAGAAAAATGTACTAATGTCTATAGACTCGTAAATTTCTACTGAAAAATTGGAGACATCAATTTCTGAATATGGGCACGTCATATACTCTAAGCCATGTGATAGATTTTAATAATTGAAACTAATTGATATGTCTGATTTAATTAGAAGTAAGAGTTTTCTATGCGACATGCTGATAGTATAATAGTACATTACTGCAGCGGCCACCAACTGAGGCATTGATGGAGCATGTGAGTCCATCAATGCCTAGTTGTGGCCAAGGCTTGTATAGTACTTTTCTCAAACAACGCGCGGACAACAAAACGAAAACAAAAACACAATTTTACTTTTCAAGTTCAATGACGAATAACGAACTATAATATTTTTCACGCGCCATAATGTTCCTTTGTTTTTTTTTTAATAAACAGCTTTCTATTTGCAAGACAGTTCGAAATTTAAATAAAACCTTTTATTAGTTACCTCCTTAGTAGCCATGTTTCAGAGTAAAAAGTCATTCCATTTTTAAATTACAGGACAGATATGTGTTTACATAGTAATTTATCTGGCCGCAAAACACGACAAATATGGATTTTCATATAACTTTTGCCGGCCGCTGCCCGCATGTATCTGGCCAGTACGGCAATTTTGATTTATCTCTAAGAAGATTGTCACAACAATTCTCACATTTCCAAGCATGTTTGAAAAAAAAATATTTCAGTATAAATTATCAAAAACTTATTTTACAATCGACTCTTTGACTGCCCTGCACATTCTAACTAAACATGACAATAACAAAATCACAACAACACACAATTATGTTTTCAAAGTTGAGTTATTGTTTTAAAAAATAAAATCTGTTATTTTCAGACATTGTAACCTGTGAATAAAAGTGAACTACATGCGAGGGGGCGCGTCAAGGCCCCAGAAGTGCGTCAAGAACTGATTGCGGAATGAATGTGATATTATTGTATTATATGTACTCATCTAGTTATAGCTTATCAATATTTAAATGCAACACCCATTTGTAAAACAACATTTCAAATTAATTTAACCTTTAAAAGCCTGATTTTTTAAATTAAATTAAAAAATATATAAGTGTATCCTTTACTGTGTTTACTAATGGGGAAAAATAGTAAAAAAATCAAAACAATATTTTTATATATTTATTTTGAAAAAAAAAAACATTTGGTATAATTTTTGACACTTTAGGCATTACGGTAATCAAAATATTTAAATTTATTTAACAATGAAACAATGCAAACCCCGGTATCAAATTTAAAACTTCAGGTATTTAAGGGTTAAGACACAGCATACACTGTAATTAAATGCAGACGGTTTAGAATGGCTGATATTTTCATATCAAACCATGTATAAAATATAAATACGTATTGCAAGAATCCGCGGAATATATTTCGTACCCAGTTTACTAGAAAAAAAAAATGTAGTATTTTAATCAACCAGTGATATTACTTGAAAATAAAATTTAATTTAGTAAAATATTTAAAAAAAGAACACCTCTACGCACGTCACGTCACGTCAGATTTGTAAAAAGAACGGCTTGATATCACTTGCATTTAATCACCGTGCGTGCTGAGTGAGCAAGATGAATTTATAACTTTATATTAATTCTATTGCTATTTTTTTATTTGTATGGACTAGGACCTACACATGTTTTAAGTATGTTTTGTTCCGAACTGAATATTTAATGCAAAAAAAAAAAAAAAAAAATAGAATATTTTAATAGTTAAAATTTGACCTTTTATGAAATGGTTAAGTAACTAAAAATCTACTTTCCTTCGGCATTGTAGAACGTTGGTGAAGTACTAGACGTAAATATATAGCAAGAGTTAACAATATATATATAAAAAAAAAGTAATTTAATATTTAAATGTATATTTGATCTCATAACTCAGCATTTTAGTACAACAAAATTATATCAATTGTCGGATGATAGCAGACCGTACAAAGTCGCTGTTGCCATTTGCAGTACACTCGTCAATGTATATGCTAAGTACATGTTGCCACATGTGATTACAGTACGCCGATAACTCTGTAGTGAAAGTTTTTCTTCTTATTTGGTAAACAATATTACTGATAAACAGGAAAATTTGTTTAATATTGGAGTAGTTTTCAGCAGAGCAAAGGGGGGGGGGGGGGAGAAGGTGTAACACTTGACTATATCATTATAGGATTGGCCATGTATAATCCACCGATGTAAATTTACTAGTCGGTTAATATTACACTCTCAGTGCGAGAAGGCTCAGACTTGAATTTGGAGGGTTTTTTTTTAATGGATGATAATGCAATGGTATGGCCCGCCTCCGCTAATGGTATACACTGGCAAGGCACCAGTGTCCACTTTGCTCTTTAAAAAATCGTCATGTCGTATAAGATGGCCCAGCATTTTGCCTCTTCTACCATACTACAACATGCAAAATATAACAACTCACTACAGGGTTGTCGACGTGTTAAAATTGTTACGTTTAAAGAGTTTATTGTTTTGTATTTGTATATACTTGAATTCCAATCAGAACTAGTATGATGTAATTATTATGTTATACATTTAATAAGAGGAAATAAAAGAAATATATGTACAACCAGTGGCTTATTTATTAACACCAAAGATATGATTTAGGGGAAAAATACAAAATAAAGTCTCATACAATTGAATGTTTGACAATGTTTGTACGGCGCTGTGCATTCGTACATAAATCAGTCTTTGAATGTGACATTGGGAATGACATACCGCATAATTTTCGTTCACATGAATCACAAGTATTTAATATTAGTATATAATAAATTGTAATAAAACAGTATTTGGTTCTAGTGACTAAAAAAATGAAGTTGACAATAAAATTATATATATATATACGACCTGCACGATAGACAATTTCACCTCTACAGACAGGACCGTTCGGTACATTTTCAGTTAGGGTGTAAAAATCCCCTACTAACAAACTTTAAAAATTTTTAACGGTGCGGAAAGAGAAGCCGGTTGCAATATTCTGAGTCTCAATCTCAAGTAGGCGTTTAAAATAAATAAAAATTTCAATGTCTGGCTACTGAGCAAGCAGAGATGCATTCCCAGATATTTAACACTTGTTACTTTTGGTAGTTTTTGTCCCTTCATTTGCACCGGTGTTGCATCTCCCTTTCTTAATGTGAATATAATGTGGTGGGATTTCTCTGTACTGCATTTTATTCGCCATTTATAACCAACTTGATCTAATTGTGCTTGAACTTTCTGTGATGCCACATGGGCGTCTGTGTCACTTGCCAAGCATGTTGTCATCAGCGTAAGTGCTATTGTTATATCGTTTGTCACAGGTAAGTCCGCCGTATATATAGAATATAGTACAGGTCCAAGAACGGACCCTTGCGGGCCCGACGCACATAAATTGTAGAATTTTGAATAAGCTTCACCAGATTTAACTTGGAATATTCTATCTGCAAGATAAGACTTCAAAATCATATAAAATGAATTAGGTAGTTGTGTTTTAAGTTTATATAACAACCCCTTGTGCCATACTTTGTCAAAAGCTTCTTTTATATCGAGGATTACAGCAGAGCAATAATCTATTTTTTCAAACGATTCTCTCACTTTTTGTATAACTCTATACATCTGTTCAATTTTTGAGTGTTTTTCTTTAAATACAAACCGATGATTAGGTATGATTTTGTTCTCATTTAGGACTGGTCTCAATCTATTAAGTAATATTTTTTCAAAGACTTGACATTGTAGGCAAGAGACTTATTGGTCTATATGATGTAACTTCATTGGGACTTTTTTCGGGTTTCCGAACCATGCACATCTGTGACACTTTCCAGAGCGCAGGATAGTAATACAATCTAAAGATAGCGTTAAATATCATAGTCAAGAATACCACAGCCTTTCTGGGCAGTTTTTTGAGCACTTCTCCTGTTATCAAGTTAGCCTGGTGCTTTTTTATTTTTTAGATAGCGCATATATCCCGCTGTTTCCCTAGGTGTGACACGTTTCAACATAGGAGAAAGTTGTTGATCACTATTCAAGAGCCTATCTATTTCTTCCTTAAATCCTATCATATCTGACTGGTTTGCAGTGAAGACTTCCCTTAAGTGTTCAGCAAATAATTGAACCTTTTCTCCATCTGTTTGGGCCCACGTATTAGCTTTTGTTTTAAGTGGTGGTATGTGTTGAATTGGTCTTTTAAAATTTTTCGTCACTTTCCACAATGAATAATTATCCTTTTTTGTGGAAGATAATCTTTTAAGCTTGTTATCCTTGTTATTGTTCACATGCAAATCAATCATCAACGTAAGTTCTTTCGCTGATCTATTATAGGCTTTTTTATCAAACATATTCCTATTTTGGTGCCACTTTTTACGTAGTCTTCTTTTTTCACAAATTTTTTCCCGTATCTCTACTGTTATATACGGTGCCTGATCTTTTTCCTCCAGGTCTAGGGATGAACGCCATGCTTCTTGTATTAGGTTGGTTATATAAAATGTCGCATCATCTAGTAAGCCGTTTATGTTCCATGTTGCTATTTTTAAATCCATTTTAGACATTCTTACTGATTAGCTTTGTGACAAGATTCATCAGTGAAGTCATGATTTCTAAGATACGGTCGACTTTTTCTGACTCTTTCAAGAATAGCTCTTCGATTCTATGTAAGGTGGTAGTTTCATGTGAATTTATTTTACTTGCGTTACCTTCACAGTCGGTACGGTTGTTTCTCTGTGACTTAGATAGAGTCATCTGTTCTTGTTTTTTGATCTTTTCGTGTGTTCACTTTAAAATTAGTTTCTATTTTATTTACTATCTCGCTGTATGCAGGTATTATTTTATTCTGGGTCTCTTTCATATAAACTTCTTCTTTTGGATCATGTTTCTTGTTTATTTTACGTAATGGTGGGTATTCCGATTTATTATTTGTTATGTCAATTAGTTTATTAGGATTTTGCGATCTCTTGAGTGTTTTTTTCATCTTTCTTGCTCTTATTTCTTTGTAAACTTGACATCCTTTGTAATTAACTGGATGTTGCCCTGAACAAAGCGCACGTAGAGCTGGAACATTTTTCCCGATATTCCAATATGTAGTTTTGAGAGGTCCGGCACATTTAACGCATCGAAAGGGTCTCATGTAATTGTTTTTACTATGACCGTACTGTTGAAATCTCATGCACTGTACTATATTGCTACTTTTTTTGGATCCTGTATTTGTATCCGCTGGTGATAGATATAGGTTATGTCTTTGAGTACGTAAGTGAGTATAAATATGTCAGTTCTATAGTCAAACGGACCTGTCCTTTTACAAAATATTGTAACATAAAAAATATTACGAGCATTGAAAGTAAACAAAAAAAAAAACATGTGATGGTTTCGTGTATTACAGCCAGGTTCACAATGCGACATCGCATCGAAAACGTGTTTTTTAATCTATTCTTAGCACAATTAATTATTGTTATTACCTGTTAACACTTAGTTACACATCGATGATTGAATCGATATCAGAAATACAATCATTTGCAATTCCAAAATAAAACCAATCAATTAATATGTTAGTAGTTGATTTTATTTTAGAATGAATTCGTTATATCCTATTTACTGTTACATAAAACATCAATAGAGTACAATTGAGATCAAAATTACATTTATTCGTAGTCCAAAATAAAAAAAAAAGTATTTATTTTATTAATGAATGTAATTTCCTATATACTATTACATTAAACATTTATTATTACATAAAATTTTAACGCAAAACAAAATCGTACTTGATTTATTATTACATTAAAGATTTACTATTAGACAGTGTGACTATTTGTGACAGATTGCTGCCATTTTGCCAAATTTCGCTCCTAAATTTTGTCTGTGGCAGATTCGTGCCAAACTCCGCGAAACTCGCGTGCCCGAAAAAGTAACTCTAGGCGCATGCGTCGCGTAGGCCAATCAGAGACCGCGCCGCGTCTCTCGCGCGCCAAAACGCTATCTCAATGATTAGGTTCACAGAGGGACATTTTTTAACATGGCTACCGCTGTTATTAGAATTTTGTAATAAAAAACAATTCAAAGCAGTGTGTACGTCATTCTAGAAGCCCATGAAACTAACCGAGTAAAAATTTTAACACATCTTTTTTAAAAATAAAAATGGCAGAAATCTGTCACAAATGGTCACACTGCTATTAGATGAATTTTCGATGACTAAATCAAGATGGAAACTACCGTTTGTAATCCAAAATTATATAAATCAATTAATCTACAATATTATTCTGTAGAAATTTGTATTGAAGTCACAGTAAATTTCGTTTTCAGTATCATTTAACTTAAATATTCACGTTATGTATTTTCTATATTCTACAAGTTTCGATTGTCAAGTGAAAGGAGTTTTGAAAACGAAAGTGAGTTTCTAAGGATGGTTAGTACATTTATACCAATTCAATACGATGTTACTTTTAAGAAACAGCATTGTGTTCCATTTTTATTTACAGAATATCAAATGCAAATCACTAGTAGATTTGTCAGTAAAATTCGCGTATTATTTTATAGAATGTTACTATTATTGTAAATTCTATGATTGTAATCGTAGTTTTACTGTTATATTAAGTATTAAACTTAGATTATATAGATAGGGCCTCGAGCTTTAAAAACGGGTCAACTTTTTGTCAGCTAATTATCAAAACGTTTTTATTACTATTGTTATACTTACAACGTATTTTGATGTGTCTATATTTAATTAAAACTAGTTATTACGCAATAAAATGGAGTAATAATTATAAAACGAAAAAAAAAAAAGAACTAATAAAGACATCACTTATAACTGGTATCTTCCATTTTAATCATGAATACAATTATAACTTTATTTTTTTAAATTCGCGCCATTTTTTAGTGTTGCAAGTATCCGAAAAAATCCCTACAATTAAATTAAAATTTTCGTAATGAGGTGGATTTTTTTTAATAACAATAAATTTATTTTTATTATTATTTGTATTTTGTGCTATTTTCTTACATAATATAATATATACGTATGTATGTACACAGAGATATTATTGAGTAATATGCAAACTATTTTATGTAAGTTTGCGACACTTAATTGTACAGTAAAGTCTTAAATTACATATTAATACATATTAATTATATATTAATACAGAGTTCTTAATACAAACAAACAAAACTATTTAATGTTATTCAAATTAAAGTACACTATTACGAGACAATTACTTGAATTATTAACAAAACAGCCACCATTCTCAAGTAATTTCAAAAAGAGAATTCGACTACATATACACACTGTATATGTAATACAGTGTGCATATGTAGACGAATTCATATCATTCATTCAGTCAGCTTGGCAAAGACTGAAACTGATTCTAACTGAACTATTCTGAATTCAAACATGGTCTGAATTTAGAATAATGGTTCTGAACTGAAAACCAATGCAATGAAAAATTCTTTTCCGAAAATTTCATACTTCTTTCTCTATTTTTTTTTTTTTTGTTATAATCGTGTAATTTTTTTTGTATATGTTTTGTTTTATTTCTTTTTTAAGTATGGACCAATATCTAATGTTATTTGTGCGTTGTAAATAATACAAATAAATTATCTATCTATTTATTTAATCTATGATGTTATGTCATAATATAAAGAAATAATATTTTATTGTGAAATATAATGAAATACAAACAGACAGCAACGTAATGTTATACACGTATTAGAATCTTACCGCCATGAGCTGAATCAGTTTGTCTACGCATTATTATAAATAAATAAATAAAGTTAAATGTTATAAAGTATTATTTATTCCTAATAATATTTTAAGTTAAGACCTTTACTTATTTATTTTAATCTAAAATAATAATTTCTAATCTGGTAACACTGTCGTGTACACAATCGTATGAAAAAGTTGACCCGCTTTTTTCGAAGCATCTGTGTGGAGATATTCTAAAATATTATTGTTTTAATTAATTTATTTAATGATGAAGAATACAATCGAAGGTAAGAGGGTGCTGTATTGACTTTGAATAAATAGTAAAAGATCTGAAGAGCGACGATAATGTAATTATTTACTATGGCACACAGTGTAACAAAGATATTTGTGTTCGGTGTGTCAGCAGGGAGCGACGACGTACAATGTACTTTACTTAATACGCAGGTATGAGTTTATTCACGTAAATAAATATTTCAATAGATTCACTCGTTCACGGTAAAATATTTACTTGCTGAGGAGTAACAGTACATTTTTATTTTATTACTTTATATGTAAGAAAAATACCACTCGCAAACAATTAAAGCAATAGACAAAAGGAAATAAATAACTTAAAACTAGAATTAGTCACAGCTTAGAGAAGGCGGCGGGGGCGGCGGCGGCGGCGGCGGCGGCGGCGGCGGCACGGCGGCGAGGTGCGCGTGCTTGCGGCGCAGGTGGTGGCGCAGGTAGCGCGGCTGCGCGAAGGTGGCGGCGCAGTGCGCGCAGGGCAGCGCGGCGGGCGCGTGCGTGCGCGCGTGGCGCAGCAGCTCGTAGCGCGCCGCGAAGCGCCGCGCGCAGCCCGGCGCGCCGCACGCGTGGCGCCGCGCCGCCGCGCCGCCGTGCCGCCGCGCGTGCCGCGCCAGCGCGCCGCGCCAGCGGAACGCGCGCCCGCACTCGCCGCACGCCCAGCGCCGCGCGCCGCCCGCCGCCGCCGCCGCCGCGTGCGTGCGCGCGTGCGCGTACAGCGCCGCGTTGGAGCGGAAGCGCTTGCCGCAGCGCGCGCACGCGAAGCGGCGCTCGCCCGTGTGCAGCGGCGCGTGCTGCGCCAGCGCGCCGCGCGTGCCGAACCGCCGCCCGCACTCGCCGCACTCGTGCTCGCGGCTGCCGCGGTGGAAGTACTTCATGTGGTAGAAGTAGCTCGACGACGCCGTGTACGTCTTCGAGCAGATCGGGCACGTGCGCACCTTCTTCGCGGGCGCGGGGGCCGGCGCCGCGGGCCGCGCGTCCTGCGAGTCCTCTATCGCCTCGAACACGGACTCGGGGAGAGGCTCGAACCGGTCCTCGGCGTCGCTGTGGTCCGAGAACTCGTCGACGCGCGCGTCGCCCGCGGCCCCGGGGCCGCGAGGCTCCGCCTCTCGTCGCTCGGCCAAGTCGTCCCGCTTCTCCTTCTGTCCCGGCGACGCGCTCCCGCTCCCGTTCAACTCTGAGCCCTCGATCTTGCCCCTCGTCGACACCTCCGCTTTCTTCTCCGCCCCGGCCCCCGTGTTGTAGATCTTCGAGTACTGTACCGCGTGCAGCGACATGTGCCTGATGAAATCCTTCCTGTCCACGTACGTGTCGCACTCTTCGCAGTGAAACAGTAGGTCCGAGTGCGCGGCCACGAGGTGCTCCTCGTAGACGGAGTCGGAGCACTGGGCGGGACAGTAGATGCACGGGCGGCGGGCGGCGGCGCCGGACCTGCAACAAGCGGCGCATTAGGGCGGCGGCGGCGCCAGGTGGCGGCGCTGGTGCGCCAGCAGCTGCGCGCGCAGGCGGAACACGCGGCCGCAGTGGCAGCGGTGCGCGCACTCGCCCGAGTGCACGCTCGCGTGCTCGCGCAGCGTGCTCTGCCGCTTGAACCGCGCGCCGCACTCGACGCACTGGTACTTGCACACGTCGTGGATCTTCCTGTGCATGCGCAGCGCCGCGCTCGACTTGGACGCCTTGCCGCACACGTCGCACACGAACTCCCTGGCCGCCGAGTGCGACCTCTCGTGGTCCTCGAGGTGGCTCCTGCGCGAGAAGGCGCGGCCGCAGAGTGCGCACGCGTGCGGCCGACGCTGCTGGTGCACGGCGCGCGTGTGCCGCGCCAGGTTGCCGCTCTCGTTGAAGCCGAGCCCGCAGCGGTGGCAGCGGTGCGGCCGCTCCTCGCGGTGGTTCCTGCGGTGCCGGCGCCACGACTCCACCGAGACGACCTTCCGGCACGTGCCGCACTCCGCGTATCGCTTGCCGTCCTCGCGCACGATCACCGCGACCGGCATCGCGTCGTCCTCCTCGGCGTCCTCGGCCGGCCGGTCCGCGGGCTCGTCCGCGGCGGCCTGCTCGACCTTAATTTCCGTATCCGACTCGATTGGTCGTACATCGTCTCGTCTGCAAAGGCAAATTCGTCGATGTACTAGATGCTAGGTTTTCGGGCGCAACCGAACACTGACTCGACCGTCACTATACTTAACACTTATACATGCAGCCACGATCGCGGGCGTCGAAACAAGCGGCTAATCGAACATCGACAAGGGCATAGAGTCCAGCTAGGGGCGTCACTGGTAGAGCGGTGGCGCGGGTGGCGCGGGTGGCACGGGCGGCGGCGGCGGCGGGTGCAGGCGCGCGGCGTGGTGGCGCAGCGCGCGGCGCTGGCGGAAGGCGGCGCCGCAGAGGCGGCAGGCGTGCGGGCGCGCGTCCTGGTGCGCCAGCAGGTGCGCGGCCAGCTCGTGGCGCGCGCGGTAGGCGCGGCCGCAGGCGCGGCAGGCGTGCGGCCGCTCGCCGCTGTGCCGCAGGCGGTGGCGCGCCAGGCCGGCCCGCAGGCGGAAGCGCGCGCCGCAGTCGGGACAGGCGTGCGGAAAGTGCGCGGCGTGCGTGTGGCGGTGCGCGTGCAGCGAGCCGCTCTGCGTGAACCGCTTGCCGCACTGCGCGCACGCGTACGGCCGCTCGCCCGTATGTGTGCGCACGTGCTGTTTCAGGTTCTGCGAGTTGGCGAAGTTCTTCGGGCAGTAGCGGCACGGGTGGCGCCGGACGCGTTCGTGTGTTTCGGTCACGTGGCGCTGCAGCCCGTTCGGTGTGCGGAACTGCTTGCCGCACACGTGGCACACGCACGGCCGCTCGCCGGTGTGGATGCGCTTGTGGAAAACGTACGTGTGCGGCGAGCTCAGGCGCTTGCCGCAGACCGGGCACGCGTAGTAGGTTTTGCCGTCGATCCTCGTGCGGGCCCGCGCGAGCTCGCGCCGCGTCTCGTCGTCCATTCTGTCCTTGCGCATGTTGCGCTCGGTGAGGTCGTCGAAGCGGTCGATGTCTAGATCGGCGGCGTCTGGCTCCCCGTCGGGTGCTTCGGAGTCGCTCGAGTCAGTGAAATCTGGATAGTTGCATTCCGTCGAACCGTGCTCAGCCACGAAGTGATCTCTAAAGTTGACTAGGGCACGGTAGAACTCGTTGTAGCGGTCGGTTTTTCTCGTCGCCGCTATGCTCGAAAGGGGCTCGTCGTCCTCGTCGAAGGACTGTCGGTCGTGATCCGAGTTGATTTCAAATTTTATATCGAGGGGGATCTCGCTAAATTCACTCATATATGGCTCAGTGTTCCTCGAGCCGCTGGCGAAATTACTCCAGCAGGCTTGCCACCTGCAACAAACAACCCCTGTTACTTCGTCTTCTTGTGTGTGCTTAAGTGGTAGTTGAGGTGACTCCTCTTTCTGAACTTCTTCTGGCAGAGGTGACACTCGTATTTTCTTACATTTAAGTGAATTTCCATGTGACGATCTAATGTATTTTTGGCCCGAAAAGATTTCTTACAAACAGTACAGCTGTATGGTTTATCTCCTGTGTGAATTCGGCTGTGAACGTCGCGGGCCAAGCGCGTCGGGAACGCCTCTCCACAACCGGAGCAAACGAAGTTCAATATGCCGTCGTGTACCTGTTTTTTATGGTTCTTTAAATTCCACTGGTTACTGTAACTCTTGTCACATCTGTCGCACTGAAAGGTGGTGTTCTTTTTATCCGAATGACTTTTCATGTGAACAAACATATTATATTTATTGGAAAATGTTTTATTGCATTCTGGGCATACGGCGGGAATAAATTTTTGATTCCTTGAACTTTGTTCAAATCTGATTTTGTTGCTGGCCCTTTGATCGCTGTGGTGCTCGTTGACGTGTAGCTGTAGAGCGTCAATGTCCTCAGCACTATAAGCGCAACTTCGACACTTGTGCACCCTGAACTCATCTGGGGCGCGGCTCACGTGCTTCTCTTGTAAATGTGTTACGAACGATTTCTTATTGTTATACGTTACGTCGCAACATACGACCGCGTTGTCTATACAGACTTCTACGTGCCGGTTCAGGTGAAAGATCAGCCGAGTCGGGGACGAGAAAGCGTTATCGCAAAAAGGACAATAGAAGCTCGGCAATTTATTTTCGGTCACTTCTCTCGCGTCTGATTCCATATCTCTGTCGGAATCTTCCGAAACTAGTACTTCTACGAATGTAATATTATCTCTAATGAATTTCTCTACGGACTGAATATCTTTGACATCGCCACCATGTGCTGTCAGCAGGTGTTCTGTCAAGCTGAGTACGCTAGTCGCCGACGGATGGTCAGTGCACAGCTGGCAAACGCACTCCATGTCCAAGTCCTCATCCACATTGGCGGGGTTAAGATAATTGACCATAACAGATTTCACGTGTTCGTAAAATAATAGCGAGGTGTGTGATCTGAAATTGTACATATTACTGTTTTTGACGAAACTGCCCGCTTATACTAACAAACTTTCTATACAGAACATTAAAATAAGGTTACATGTTAGTTAAAATTATTTAAGCTATTTATTTATACTACTGTAAATGATAAACAAGCAGATTTCCCATCAAAAAATATACGATCAGCGAGAGAGCAACTGAGTAAGCATTTTTTTCATTCATAGTCAGTTTGAATACCTATTGTATGGATAAGAAGGCTATATTTTAATCAAATATTTACATTTAATTTTTACTTTTTATTTTATCCATCATTATTTTTTTGTTCGTGTTTTTTTTTTGTAATGCCTATTTTTGTTGCTTTGTGTGCAGTGCCTTTTATCTAAATTGTTGCTATAAAATATAAACCTATTAGTGGCTTGGTCTGTGATCCTAAACTGTATCTATAGGGCACTAGTGTAGCCCTGGTTTGCTGTGATAAATAAATAAATAATACGATGGTAGATGGTAATCGTCGTCTATAGACGTGAACAACTCCGCAGCACCAGCACTCTCTTCTTTACATACGTTGCCACTTTGTAATGGTTTTTTTATGAAATTACATCAATCACTTACGCTACAGTTACCAGACGTAACTGTCGCTTATGCAAGTTGCATTAATTTTGATTTATCATTAATATTTAAATCTGTAATGTTCTTATATGAAGTACTTGCAGCATAAATATTAACACAGTTTCATCGTTAATAACTACAGCCAATTTGTAACCAAACCTACTATGATTTTTTCCGAAATTTAGGAACCGAACGATACATAAACCAGATGTTACAATAATGAAAGAAGTGCTGCCAAAATAGTAGAATTTTGATTTGGTACGTAATGACCATAAACCAGCTAGTTGTTGGAATAATGAAAGAAGTGCTGCCAAAATAGTAGAATTTTGATTTGGTACGTAATGACCATAAACCAGCTAGTTGTTGGAATAATGAAAGAAGTGCTGCCAAAATAGTAGAATTTTGATTTGGTACGTAATGACCATAAACCAGCTAGTTGTTGGAATAATGAAAGAAGTGCTGCCAAAATAGTAGAATTTTGATTTGGTACGTAATGACCATAAACCAGCTAGTTGTTGGAATAATGAAAGAAGTGCTGCCAAAATAGTAGAATTTTGATTTAGTACGTAATGACCATAGACCAGCTAGATATTGGAATAATGAAAGAAGTGCTGTCAAAATATAGAATTTTGGTTTGGTACGTAATGACCATAAACCAGCTAGTTGTTGGAATAATGAAAGAAGTGCTGCCAAAATAGTAGAATTTTGATTTGGTACGTAATGACCATAAACCAGCTAGTTGTTGGAATAATGAAAGAAGTGCTGCCAAAATAGTAGAATTTTGATTTAGTACGTAATGACCATAGACCAGCTAGATATTGGAATAATGAAAGAAGTGCTGTCAAAATATAGAATTTTGGTTTGGTACGTAATGACCATAAACCAGCTAGTTGTTGGAATAATGAAAGAAGTGCTGCCAAAATAGTAGAATTTTGATTTGGTACGTAATGACCATAAACCAGCTAGTTGTTGGAATAATGAAAGAAGTGCTGCCAAAATAGTAGAATTTTGATTTGGTACGTAATGACCATAAACCAGCTAGTTGTTGGAATAATGAAAGAAGTGCTGCCAAAATAGTAGAATTTTGATTTGGTACGTAATGACCATAAACCAGCTAGTTGTTGGAATAATGAAAGAAGTGCTGCCAAAATAGTAGAATTTTGATTTAGTACGTAATGACCATAGACCAGCTAGATATTGGAATAATGAAAGAAGTGCTGTCAAAATATAGAATTTTGGTTTGGTACGTAATGACCATAAACCAGCTAGTTGTTGGAATAATGAAAGAAGTGCTGTCAAAATATAGAATTTTGGTTTAGTACGTAATGACCATAGACCAGCTAGTTGTTGGAATAATGAAAGAAGTGCTGTCAAAATATAGAATTTTGGTTTAGTACGTAATGACCATAAACCAGCTAGTTGTTGGAATAATAAGTGCTGTCAAAATAGTAGAATTTTGGTTTGGTACGTAATGAAAAAATAATTGTTTAGCGAAACAGTTGCGAATTTGAATTGGATAATGAACATTTTATGGTTTATAAGTCTGAAAGTTAGTGTTTCATTTTATTGTACGGACGAAGTTCAGGGCCGAAATTTGAAAATTAATTTTCATGATAAAGCTACAATGGGCAACCTTAGACTTCAAAATTTATTAATAAAAATATTATAATATCTTGCTCTTTCCCGTAGCTCCGCACACACGGGATATCTCCCGTTCCCTTTGCCTATATCTTATAAAAACCCAGTACAAAGTTGAATATTTTTTTTAACAATTGCAGATGTTTTGGCTGTGCCAATACCAATATTGGTATGTCAGTAAAGTAATTCGATTTCTATGTAATATATATTTATAATAATAATATACATATATGTATACATAATGTATTTTATAACCTAAAAATATGTAATAACATTGTGATATTAAATATCAAACATGGTTCTATTGTAGCCTGAACATTTAAAAACTCTTGCATACAAAATATGATTAAATATTGTCGTAAACGTAATTATTATATGGAACTGTCATTAACAATATCACATACATATATACAATACTTGCCACGTAATAGAGCACGCAATACTGTTACAATATTACTGTAACTTCGCAAAATTTACACGGTACAGAGGTATAACACCTGAGTCCTCAGGAATAACAACGCATAGGGGGTATCATGAACGAAACAGTATACTCTGTTATATCCATGGTACTGCTCATGTCTGTAGGCGACCGTTACCACTTTCCATCAGGTGGGCCGTCAGCTTGTTTGCCATTCTAAGTTGAATAAAAAAAAAACATTTTTTAGTACCACAACAGTAAAATTATATATTCTAATTTTGCAATTATTAAAGGGAATCGCAAATCCAATCAAGAAATCCGATTTGTCTTGTAAGTCAGGTATTATCCTCTGATTTAGAGATTTATTTTGAATATTTACTAAGCATTCCATGTAACAATTATATAAATATGTTTATTTTTTTATTCTACAGTATTATTATTGTATTTACTAGGTAATATCCATTACTTAGAGAAATAACTACATGGGGACAGATAAACAAAAAACTAGGTTAAAGATATGGCCTGGAAGAGAATGCATGAATTAGTTGCACCGACAAGAGCAAATTCCTAAGTAAGAAAGAAGCAAAGATTCATTGCCTATGAATATGAACAGCACCATGGATATAACAGCATATGCAGTGACACACTTTACGCTCATGCATTATCATTCCGGAGGAGTGAGGATCATGGTGTCATGTCTCTCTGGTGTTAAAGCTTGCACTGGCCATCTTACCATACTGTCAAAGAAACAAACACTACTACCAGTAACTATTTATATATGGTCCCGTATCTCAAAAAGAACAGACAGACAGATAACTAAGTGATCCTATAAGGGTTCCAGTCTGTTCAACACTTTATCTTAGAAACATTTTTTTTTTTATACAACTTAGAATGGCAAACAAGCTGACGGCCCACCTGATGGAAAGTGGTAATCGTCGCCTATAGACAAGAGCAGTACCATGGACATAACAAAGTATACTGTTTCGCCCATGATACCCCCCATGCGTTGCCATTCCTGAGGACTCAGATGTTATTCCTCTGTACCCTGTAAATTCACGCCATATTTTGAAGGGTGGGTCAAACCGAAACACAGCCATGCAAACACAACTGCTTCACGGTAGAAACACTAATGGGACAGAGGTACCCAAGCAATCCACTTTTGTACAAAGTCTCCCTCTGGTAAATGTGATGGTATCAAGCTGATATTAATATAATCAAATACTCTGCAATTCCATGAAGCTGTCAGCTGTTTTTTTTTTTTATAAATTTTAACCCAATACAAACAAAAGACTTATAGCGTATATTTTGACATTTGAAACGCAATCAAAGTCTACGTATAGGGTACTACTTCCCATTGAAGTAGAATCAGGAAATTTGGCAAGAAGCAATGTTGTACAGCACAAGTAAAGGGGGAAATCGGAAAACCGTAAACTATTTATTTTACTATAATTTATATATATATATATATATATATATATATATATATATATATATATATATATATATATATATATATATATATATATATATTGTTCAAAATTAACCTTTTTATATACTTTGACAATTGTAGTTTTTTATAAAAAAGAAAATTGATAAAACAATTGAAATAGAACGAAAAATACATAATATACTTCAAGTCAACAGACGGTAAATTTTATTTTACAATTAATATAAATAATAAATAATATCTATATACAACAAGAACCAGCATATTTTACAAACATATATATATTAAACAAGTCCGACTTGTACTTGGTCGGTTTTATTGTAAATGTTTCAAAAAGAAAAAAAAATTAAAGGACATATTGTAATTTTCACAGTATTACGATAATACAAGTGCCGATATCGGGATATTGCCAATATACTGCGGTATTGCATGCTCTGGCCATTGCTAAACTAGGTGCTGTGACGTTACAGAAGCGAACCATTCCAATAACAAACTTTGCATTTCATCTAAACTCGATAAACATTTTTTTATAAACATATATTTAGCCGAATTGACACGCAAAATACATGCAAGTGGCGACATCTATTTGATACATATCTGTAATTGTCTTATTAAATTTAATAATAACCGTTTTACTGTTTTAAATTACTACATTTACTGCGACTAGAACTGCCGTAATAAGTAATCTTTTATTGTTGCTCTCTTTATGATGTGAAAGTGTTTTTTTTTAATGGGTGATAATGGAACGGTAACCCCGCCTGCGTTATCGGTATACACTGGCGGGGCACCAGTGAAGGATGATAGGTGAGGATGAAGCAGGTCAGTTAGCCCATTGTGACGAATTCAACAAGAATTGTTCACGATGGTTTCCAACGGGAACCACGTGAAGGTCGACCTGATAGTGTATTGCTAGCAATAGGGTTTCATTAGACCCCATTACTAACAATCCCTTCCCCCCAATGTGAGAGTGTTACATATCTTTTTTTATATAATATACAATTGAATATAAATTATATACTCACTTGGTCTCTGGTTGATTCTTTTCTACATTTTCATTTGTTTGACTGGGCTCCACATCAGTATTCTGTAAGAGAAAAAAAGTTTACATAAATAATAATAATAATACAAGCCTTTATTAAAAAAGTAACATAATAAACAATTCAATGTAATTAATATTCAATCAGTAACTGTTCTGTCACGCCTCTCTTGTCCAAAGACAAAGGCCTCCTCCAGAGTCTTCCATTCTATTCTGTATTTGGCTATCCTTGTACGAGTGGCGGTCTTCCACCGTGCGTTTTTCAAGGCACTTTCTTCCACGCACAACCATTCTTTGGAATCAACTTCCAGCAGCAGTATTTCCGAACCGATACGACAACATAACCTTCAAGAAAAGAGTATATTCCTTTTTAAAAGGCCGGCAGCACACCTGCAATGCCGCTGGTGTTGTGGGTGATCATGGGCGGCGGTAGTCACTTACCATCAGGTGAGCCGCATGCTCGTTTGCCCCCTGTGTTGTAAAAAAAAAAAAAAAGTGCACCTGCTACTGCTTTTATATCTGTAAACCATCGTGTCAATGGTCTTCCCTGTCTTCTTTGGCCTATTCTAGGGTACCAGTCTGTTACAGTCGTTGTCCATTTTTGTGTTTTTAAGAGAAAAAAAGTTTACATAAAGTGTTGTAAGTATCTACAATATACTAAAGTGAGGTGTAGGAGGTGGAGTCAATTCTGGATAACCATGATTGTTGACCAAACGCAAGTAAATGTCTATACTTATGTGAATAATTTATTTTTAAGAAGATTAAAGGCTAGTGTTCGAGCAAGCAACATAAACGATGGTGCATTTACTCATTCATATTCATACAAGAAATATCTTGTGTCAACATCAGCGGGCAAATGGTCATCTAAAATAATGTGTGTGTAGTCAATTATCATTAAGTCATTAGCAATAGTTTTGTAGGAAATCAAATACAATATTTGTATATTTTCAATAACGTATTTTGGTATCAGTATACGCCAAACGTTGGTCCTTCGTGCCGGATATGTAGTATTTTATTTTGAAAATGAGTCGTCATCATATAAGTTATTAACTGTCTGCTGCTGAACAATGGCTTTTTTCCCTAAGGGGTGTTTTGCCAGTAGTTGTTACGCTCGGAAACTGCAGTTTACCAGAGTTAGACTTTGTACAAAAATCTATTGCTTGGATACCTCTGTCCCATTCGTGTTTCTACCGTGAAGCAGTTGTGTTTGCATGGCTGTGTTTCGGTTTGAAGGGTGGGATATGGCGTGAATTTACAGGGTACAGAGGAATAATACCTGATTCCTCAAGAATGGCAACGCATGGGGGGTATCATGGGCGAAACAGTATACTCTGTTATGTTCATGGTACTGCTCATGTCTATAGGCGACGGTTACCACTTTACATCAGGTGGGCCGTCAGCTTGTTTGCCATTCTAAGTTGTATAAAAAAAAAGTTAAGCTTTGGTGATGTTTGAAGAGGAACAGTGCTGCTCATCCCTCGACTATTCAGTTCCCTTAGTCGCCTCTTATGCCACCCACGGGAAAGGAAGGGGTAGCCCATTCTATGCCAGGACTACATGACAATTGTTTTGACAATCAGTAATATTTCATTATTCTGAAGAGAAATTATTTATTGAAAATTACTGAATTTAGATTTTTTGTTTGCATTAAACACATAGTTTTATTAGATATTAAATTGTGTATGATTTGAGCTACAGCTTTCTTTAAAATATCGGTATGCAAAAATTATTAAAACAAACAACAGGGAATAAGCTTTACTGATAAACCCTGCAAGCGTTTTTCAAGGCACTTTCTTCCATACACAACCACTTTTTGGAATTAACAGCAGTATTTCTGAACCAATACGGGATCATAACCTTCAAGAAAAGAGTATATTCCTTTTTAAAAGGCTGGCATACACCTGTAATGCCTTTGGCAGCAGTAGTCACCAATTTTTTTTTGATGAATGATAATGGAATGGTAACCCCGCCTGCGCTATCGGTATACACTGGCAGGACACCAGTGAGAGATAATTGATGAGGATGAAAAGGCAGGTCAGTTAGCTCATCGTGACGAATTCAACGATAAATTAGTCACAGTGGTTTCCAGGGGGAACCGCATGGAGGTCTACCTGATAAGGTATATTGATAGCGATGGAGACTAAACTCTCCATTACTAACAAACCTTTGTCCCCAGCCATTTACCATTAGGTGAGCCGCATGCTAGTTTGCCCCCTGTGTTGTAATAAAGTTCCGAGGTGTGGTGCTGACGACTCACCTGTTGCACGGCGAGCGGCGGCGGCGGCGGCGGCGGAGGCGCACGGCGCGGCAGGTGCGGCAGGCGCGCCCGCAGCGCGGTCTCCGCGTGGCGGCTGCACTGCGCCAGCTCGTGGCACGCCAGCAGCGTGCTGGCGCACTGGTAGCACACCACCACCGGCAGCTCATCTTCTTCTGATACCTGTTCCCAATAAAAAGTGCAAAACTACTTATAATTTCTACCTGACAATAGTACATGTAACAGTCATTGATGTTTTTTTTTAATGAATCACCCCATAATGAAACAATAACTGCCGTCTGCGCTAATGGTATACGCTGGCGAGGCACTAGTGACAGGTGATAGGTGAAAGAACTGTTAGCCTATCGTGATGAATTCGACTAGAATTAACCATGATAGTTTTTAGGAGGAACCATGTGAAGGTCAACCTGATAGGGTGATAGTAATAGGGAAATTAGACCCAATTACTAACAATCCCTTTCCTCCCAGTCACTGATGTTAATAATGTAGTTTATGAACATTTCAACTATAGTTATTGTTGAAATGAAATGAAATGAAATATTTATTTGCTTTAAACCCACATTTGACATTATAAGGGCCATGTGACAAAACTTTTTGGCATCTGTTTAATTGCCTTAAAATTGTAGGCGTGCAAATCTAATTTATTCCTTAAATAAGGATACAAATTTAATTTAGACATTATTATGATCATAGAATAATAAAAAAAAGAAAAAAAAAAAACAATGCTCAAACAATTATCAAATCAAATCAATAAATGTAAGTACATATTCAATATCGTCAAATAAAATTAACAATTACATTATTATTATTAATTATTATTATTATGTTACTATATTTATTCTTTATTGCACAATAAAAATTTGTACATGTGGTGAGCACAATGTCACATGATATTCTTTACCAGCTAAATATCTAAGTTCTTTAATAAATACTAACCTTTATGGGTAAATATTTGTGTATTTTCTCTGCCAAGTTGTTTTGTAACCCTTCGCCTTGGAAAATGGGTATCACAAATTCTGTAATAGTGGCGCATGTTCTGCAAACTGTTGAGAAGTCTAAAACATCTGAAAACAAAGAAAGATATATTTTTATATTTAATTTAATACTAATGTTACTAATTTCTTTATAATACAATTATACATTTTTTTTTATTAAAGAGAACAGATGAGTAGAGTACATTTTGAAATATTGGGAGCTTGCAGGTTGTCTGTAAGAGATTGCTTTTAGCGATAAGGCCGCCTTGTGTATATGCACATTCTGTATAAATACTCCTTGTATACATCTCTACTGTGCGCAATAAGGAGTTTATTACTATTATTTAAATTTTTAGAAAATTCACATCTCCCCTCTTAAGGAGAGGAGATGGCCACTAATCCCCAGCAAAAGCACAGTCGGCCAGGGTTCAAGGCCCCAGGGAGAGAAACTGGCGTACAATGCGGACAGAATCTAAGAGCACCGCTTTCTGCATCTTTCCCGGGAGTGAGCCGCCTCGGAATCCCAACTGTCTGAGATGTTGTTCCAGACTGGTTGGGATAAGACTGTTCACCGACATAACGATTGGAATGATTTCAGTGATTATTATTATTATAATCGTAGTAAGTATTTCTTTCATAAAATGTGTCATATAATGTTTCACAGTGTTACAGGACTGTAGCTAGACCACTAAGTGACTTAATTATTACTTCTGCCCTAACAAAAAGTTCTTTTGTCCTACTTGAAACTTGGGTCTATCTACAGCACTGGTATGTATCTAAGACCTTGTAAGTTTTAAGGCATAATTAGGAAGATATATATATAATATATAGAAGCTTAAAAATAAATAATTATTAAAAAAGGGGGGAAAGGGATATATATATATATATATATATATATATATATATATATATATATATATGATATTTAGAATGTAAGTATATAAGTTACTTTGAATATAGATAAGCATATTTATTATTTCTTAATAGAAACAACTATGGTGTTTCCTCTTCGTAATGTACGCACACTGCCCGCTGGTAATTAATGCTCCTTTCCACTCAGGGTTTGCAGGAAGAAAACTCTTATAGAGTTAAGCTCGACTGTTGTACATCTTTATTTAATATATTTTTTTAATGTAATAATTGTGTACAATAAAATATAAAACAAATGAGGCATTAATATATATCTGTAATAAATTATATGACTCTGTGAAAGATGATAAAAGCAGTATTTAATTGTGTTAAAGTAATTTATTGTTATAGTTTACAAGCTCACATACCTTCTAAATTAACTTGCGTCGCGGGAGTTTCCTTCTGTGTGGTTGCCAGCGGTACATTTTCCGACGAATTTAGTACAAATATTTGTTCAGGCTCGTTATCCATTATTCTTCTTGTTTAAAAAATTCAAAATAAAATAAGAATAGAAGCGAATTATACAAGTAAATAGTCAAATAGATATGTTGTTATGTTCACAGATTATTATGCGGAGAGATACTGCACACAGAGTAGGTATTATACAAATTTAGGCATGAAATTATTGCTACATTTAATTCATTCATAATGAATTTATTGTATTGAATTTATTGTAGTGAAATTATTATTTTTATTCACATTTACATCATTAGTTACAAATCGTAATAATGATTTCCGTTTGGAATGATTTAATGCCACTCCCAATCACCACAGACCAAGTAATTACTACATTATAAGAGTTGGCACTTAATTTATATTAATGGAACCTGGAAAAAAATATGCATGTCACTATTTCCAAGTAAACAATAAATATTATAAAAGAAAAAACAATAAATTTATGTTGTACCACTATCTATCTATATATATATATATATATATATATATATATATATATATATATATATATATATATATATATATATATATATATATATATCTTCATCGTTTTATTGTATGCACACTGCCCGCTGCTAATTAATGCTCTTTCCCACTCAGGGTCGATCTCAATCTGTCGATATCAATGAGCAAGACTTATCGATTTCGACAGATGCCATAAAAAATCTAACTATTACATACTATAAAATTTTGAAATTTTAGGAGAAACAGATAATAAAACATGTACTAAAATTTTATTACTTTATATTATTTTACTTCAATTTAATATCTCATTTTTTTTGACAGGTGAGTAATGCAAATTTTCTTCGATGTATTAAACAATAGTTCTACATTATTTGCATCTGCATCACAAATAGCATCTGAAAAAAAACTATGTATGCATAGGTAATATCATCATTTATAATTGAATTTCAGGTCGTATCGATAAATAGTAGGAATTATGATAAAAATAACACTAATGCACTAAAGTGCATATGTAAAATTAATTAAAGTAATTTGTACAAATTCACCAAAATTTTTAATATAGCAATTACCTTCACTGCTATATTAATTACAATTATTGTTTATTCACCGGTATAAATCTATTGAAAATTGAGCTAGAAACGTTGTTTAATCTTTGTATTATATAACACTAAACACAAATTTATTTATATTTTAATTATTATTACGTAATTTATCAAAACACATATTAGTTATTTTAATATTTGAAAAAAATGCATTTATAAGTGAAGCACTGTTTTTTAAATACCACCATAACTCTCACTATAATGGCACCTATTCAAGATGGCCATAATTCACCATAATAGAAGTCTTTTTTGTTTGGTAACATAGTTTCATAGAACCTACGAACATTCCAATAACCATGCTCTAATTGTCGCAAGCCTGAAACTCGCTACTATTTGTAAATTAAAATATAAATTATGATTTTTATGAAAAGAGCGAGCGAATGAAGACTTTAACGCAGTGTAATATAAAATTTGTATTCGTTTGATGTATATGGCCAAATTAGTCGTCTGTTGCGATTTCACTTTAACGTTATCCCAACGCACCAATGACTTACAAATAAATCTGCGTGATTATCTGCGATTTAATTTAGAGTGATTTGTAGCAATTTTTGAAGCAACTTAGATGTTGTGACATATAAATTCTCGTAATATACATTATTTCACTTGATACATGTGAAATATTCAAGCTTATAATTTTTTTATAGATGTTGCCTTAGATAAAGAATGCAGGTGCATCCTTAATTTATGTACGTTGCACTGAAAAACCGATATTACGCTGAACAACCAATTATTATATTATGAAATTTAAGTAACCATCTGAATCCATATATAAAAAAATATTTTCTGTGATAATTATGGAGCTGAAAAATGACGCGTAAATTGATTTACAAATTTGTGAAAAAATATTAATAAATATTATTTATTATTTAATATTAAATATTATATATTTTTATTATTTTAATATTTTTATTATTTAATATTTTTATTAATAAATATTAATATTTTTTCCTAATTCACTTCTTTCATCTGAAAGAAAAGAGGTGGTGAACTAACACCCGACAAAAGCAGAGTTGGTCAGAGTTCATGGTATTAGGGAAACAAACTGCTTATTCCAAATTTTGGGCAGTGTTAAGGATCACATTTATCTGATATCGAAAGAAAATTATTTCAGAATTATAATTATAATTATGAATCTCATTCCTTATTATATTTTGCGTAATTTTAAATTACATTATATTTACATAGAACTTGTATACTTCCAATTTTAACTTGAAAATTAACTATTCTTTTGTCAACAACAATGCATACATAATTTTTCATTATCTTGCAACTACTAATTTTGTTTGAAGTGCCGAGGCCTTTCTCACATTACAGCATAGGCGGGAACAGCTTTCAGTTCGTTTATTAGCGCAGGTTTTATGCTGTATTTTATTGAGCGTATCCCGGCGTTCCAGGGACACATTATTCTTTGCAATATTTTGCAAATGAGGTTAGTAGGCTGCTAGGTCAGTAAGAGTAGGTCAATTAACCCGGACACAGATCTATCAGATCAATAATTATGTTTCTATGGAGTATAGTTGACTAATAGATAAGTAGTTTTTATTAAGGAGAAACTTAAAGAAAATTTCATCAGTTGTTACTTCTTGACTTTTTGCTGTTACCACCATTACTTCCGGACTCTTTGCTGTTACCACCATACTACTTTAGCACCTATCTTATACGTTCAAGATTTTTTTAGGGGATGAAAATGACACGGTAACCTGGCTTGCATTATCAGTACCTATACACTGGCGAAGTATCAGTGAGAGATGATAACTGACGATGAAATTTGAACAGTTAATTCATTGTGACGAATTCAGCAGAAATTAACCACGATATTTTACAGGGTCCTAACACGTGAAGGTCTATTGCTATTAATGAAGTTGCCAGACTCTATCCCGACAGAATCCCGTCTCTCTCTCAAAGTCAGGTCACTTGGACCATCATAACGATTCACTCGAATCACGATGGTTTTTAGAGACGACTCCACAGTACTCGTAAGGGTCGTCCTAATAGGGTATAGGTATAGCTAGCAATTGGAAGATCAGCTCATAGTAGCGACACTTCCTCTCGCCCCCTTGTGCTAGTTGTGTGGTATTTCTCGATGTAATCTTTATAGACATTTTATTTCAAAGGTTTCATAGTGGATAGTTAGGTACTATAAATAAAATAATAATACCTCGTAAGTACTTAGAAATGTTTTCTGTCTTATTACGTCTTTTATTAACGGAATTAAGTTAAATTAATTATGTTAGTGGCCGGAGTGTTGTCGAGTGAAGATGGTGCCGGCAGCTCGGCCGACCGTCGCCACCACCGCGGGGGCCACCATCATTGTCTTATTCTTGTAAGTCTGGATCACTTGCTGTAACAATTATGTTCATTATATGTATTGTAGCTATTTACGGTATATTGTTCATAAAGATAAGATATGAAGACATAAAGGAATATAATTAGGTAATCTTAGCGTGAATTTACAGGGTACAGAGGAATAACACCTGAGTCCTCAAGAATGGCAACGCGTGGGGGGTATCACGGGCGAAACAGTATACTCTGTTATGTCCGTGGTATTGCTCATGTCTACAGGCGACGGTTACCACTTTCCATCAGGTGGCCCGTCGGCTAGTTTTATCATTCTAAGTTTTATAAAAAAAAAAAACATACAGTTCACACACTAAGCCATTCAGATATACAATACACCTATACTTAACGCACACAAACACACTACACTCCGTCACCTAATGTTTTATAATATAACTATTAGTAAAAAGGGATTGTTCCTTCAGTTCGCAATAAAACAATGTAGTAAGGAGACGTGTCATTTGATTTTCTAAAACAGATCAAGCAATTCAAAGTCGGGCAGTGGAGGTGGAAACGCACGGTGGAGGAGTGGCGGTCCTCCACCGTGCGTTTTTCAAGGCACTTTCTCCCACGCACAACCACTCTTTGGAATCAATTTCCAGCAGCAGTATTTCCGAACCGATACGATAACATAACCTTCAAGAAAAGAGCATATTCCTTTTTAAAAGGCCAACAGCACACCTGCAATGCCGTTAGTATTGTGGGTGATCATGGGCGGCGGTAGTCACATACCATCAGGTGAGCCGCATGCTCGTTTGCCCCCTGTGTTGTAAAAAAAACATACAGTCCACTTAATCATATTCTCGCACAATAATAAATATACACAATAGAAAATCTTTTATATAAAATTAACACTTTTATAGAAATGAGTCACTCAAAAGATACGAATTACAACATAACAAATTAAAAAAAAAAAAACATTAAAACATATTTTCTTCCAGCATTCTACTCGTATCTTCTAGTGAGTGAGCCGCATGCTCGTTTGCCCCCTGTGTTGTAAAAAAAAAAACATTTTTGAACCTTAAGTCCTATAACAATATGTGTACGTTTATCAACGGTGATCTCCACGCGGTTCCCTCTGTACTCGGGGCCAAATGACTGATTTAACCCTTGTTTAATTCCGTACATACTAGAACACATCTATAGGCCAAATTAGATCAGACATACTTCTCAATACAATGTATTTTACGGGAATCTATTGAAGCAATTTCGATAAAATTTCTATGGGACCATTTTATAAGTAGGAACTGACGAGTTTTGAGGTAAACAACATAAAAAAATACAACAGAATTGAGAATCTCCTTATTTTTTAAGTCGGTTGAGAAAGCCGATTTCAGTTGTGGCAACACCAGTATATTTTCGATTTCAATACTAAACTACGGAACCAATTTTGATAAAATTTTCTATAGAACCTATCTGAAAGTATGTCCTTTTAGAAAAATAAGAATTTTTCAAATCGGTTTAAAACTGACGGAGTTATGAGGTAATAAAAATTAAAAAAAATTTAGAACAGAATGGAACCTCCTACTTTTTGAAGTTGGTCGAAAATAGTGTAAATCTTTTACCAGCACTAATTTGATGAGGTACACAGCGAAAGTGAGGAACGATATGGTCATGAGCGCGCTCTCGGCCGACGGGATCTCGACGTGGTGGCCGCGCGCTTCTCCCTGAGCCGCGCGCGTCCTCCGCCTCGCGGTGTTCCGCGGGGCAGCCGCGTCGTCTGGCCACAATTTATCTAGGCGATATTCTGTTTGTAACGACAAAAAGAATTAATCGAATTGACTCATATTTATTTAGATTGTTTTCTATGAAAAAGAACAAAATACCAGATATACAGGGTTAACTTAAGGAACCTCTATTATGATTTCTAGTAATAGTATCTAATTATGAAAGTTAACAATTGTACCAAGGAGTATAGGGCGAAATCACAGACGAAATATATATATAAAAAAAATTTTTGTAAACCTTTCATAAAATAATAATGAAGTCACCATTCTGTAATTTTTGGTGTAAAATAACGTTACGCTAGATTCATGCAAAAGAAAATTAAAGAAAAAAAATGTCTATCTAATTTTGAATAATAGGGTAAAGGATTAATATACATAATATACTCTTTTATATTCTATTGCTTACCAATATTCGCTAAAATTGTATCTTTCAGGTTTTCCAAGTATTTGATTTTACCGTCCACGCTTCTATGCGAGTTCTTCGATATAGTTTCGGCAACGATTTTCATAAATTTCAGAACATTTCCCATTTTATCTAATTTTTTTTCGTTTGCCAGCGGTCCATTTTCCTTTGGAGGATCATTTAAAATATTCATATTCTCATTTAAATAATTTTCATAAGAGTTTTTAAAGTGTGCTTCAGTGTTTATTTCGTACGTGGTTTGTGCAGTCGTTTCTGATTCCGTGTCCTCTTCTTCTTTTGTAACAAATTCTGCTTTCAGTGGGCCTTTTTCTTTTACGTGTGTCAATTTATTATTTAATACATTATTTTCATCACCATTTTTAAAATTTTCTTTCCATTTGTTACCTTCAACTTTCTCGGTGCTACTCGTTAGATATAAACGGTTTCTGTATCGCGTTCTACGTAATGAAATTTCTGATAATTGATCGTTGTTCTGAGATTGCGTATTTTCTAAATCGGGTTCATCCCCAATAGCTTTGTTTGCAAAATTTATAAATTTGTCATTACTATTATCACTGCTAAGCGTAGACGTATCATCTATAGGTGATCGTATAGTGCTTCTGTCATATTTTGGTACTTTATCATCACCAACAGTTGATATTAATTTATGAAAATAATCTTTGTAATCGTCTTGATCATTTAAATTTGGTTTAGTCGCACTAGGATCATAATCGTCGAATCTATCACCATAAATTTGTGGTCGTATAATTTGATGTGTCGTTGCAGGTCTGTTTTTGTGTGTGTTAGATTCATTTTCTTCAGTGCTGCTCACAAATTGTAATGTATCTTCTGTTTTAAACACTACTTTTTTTAATTCATACTTATTTTTATCGCCATCCTTTATAGTTTCGAACATCTCACTTGGGCCCTTATCTGGATCATAATGTCGATTTATTAATTCAATATTAGGAGCAGAAGTTATATCACTTTGAATGGGTTTCATAGCTGCTTCCATTACACTAGGTTGAACACGACTCACCGTTCCCTTGTGCGGTACTTTGTCGACAGTACCTTTATTCCACGTATGTGTTAGTGATTGGTTGACGTAAGCACCTTCATACACTTCACTTCCTCTGTCCATGAGCTGAGGGTTGTGTGTCGGTTTGTACAGCTTCCTGTAATGTTGCTGTGATATCTGCACCCATTCGCATTGGACTTGGGATATGAGGAGTAACGTTATAAACATGTTTACGTGGTGTGCGCGCCTGATGGCATGTTTATGTGACGTGTGAACTGTGCTGTGACATGTGACTCGAGCCGGGCGAGATCTCAGCCGTTATGTCAGGGGTTATAAACCTTTTATTACTTTTATATACAAATAAAAAATAGTTACTAGCTGTGCCCGCGACTGCGTTTGCGGGCTGTTCATATTTATATCTTAGTCATGTAAGAATTAATTTGCAGGCATTTTTTTTACTTTTATATAACTTGTAATTCATCAGATCAAATTTACTCTATTATCTAATTTAGTTAGTAACTAACAAATTTTTTTTAATATGTTACATTGGTATTTATTCTATGAAGAACAGCGGCTTTGCACCAAAAATAAAAATCTAAGATCGGACCAATACAAGAATAAAAATAAATAAGAATAAAAATAAATGAATCGATTCAGAATTGGTGAAGATATTGCATAATAACATACATACAAAAAAGATTTGTAAATTGAGATGATCTTCTTTAAGTTGTATAAAATACCATAGAACCATTGGGGTATTTAAGGGAGAGAGGGAGGTGTGATCACTCCTGAATTGTCTGATGCCCATCCCAGGCTCAGAAGCGAAGCTTGAGCTATGGGTGAAAATATGTATGAGAATACATATGTTCTTTTGTTACGACTTTTTTTGGACATTAATCTTAATAGGCCAATGCATTGAACTTTCTTGAAATTTTTTTACAACACAAGGGGCAAACAACCATGCGGCTCACCTGATGGTAAATGATTACCGCCGCCCATGGTCACCCACAACACCTACGGCATAGCAGGTGCGCTGCCGGCCTTTTAAAAAGGAATATGCTCTTTTCTTGAAGGTTATGTTGTCATATCGGTTCGGAAATACTGCTGCTGGAAGTTGATTCCAAAGAGTGGTTGTGCGTGGAAGAAAGTGCCTTGAAAAACGCACACTTTAATAACAAAAAAGTAATATGCTTGACTTCCACGTTCCAGAAATCCCATGACAAATTGGTTTCACGTCGAAGGAATCGTTAGTAATGCAGACTGCCAGTTCCATTGCTACCAATATACCCTGTCAAGTGGATCTCCATGCGGTTCCCCCTGGTAACCATCGTGCTGGATTCCAGGCGTATTCACACGAAGGGCTAACTGACCTGCCTTTCATCCTCACCTATCATCTCTTACTGGTATACCGATACCAGCGTATACCGATAGCAAAGGCGAGGTTGCCATTGCATTATCATCAATTTAAAAAAATACGATTTCTATAAAAAAAATACATAGGTATTTCTGTAGAAAGTGCCTTCTTTTAAGTCGGATATAGAGCCCGGGTTCAGTCGCAGTGCGGCAGCCCACCGTCGATTATCCGCTCCACGGGCACGCTGCTTGTAGCGGCGCCCGAGTGTAACGATGTGTTATCGTTCAAACTCCACCGCGCCACCATACCACAACTGATCTCTATGTCTTCTCGCAAATCTTGATCTTTCAGATCTATTTCATTTTGTGCATTGTCTCAAATTATCGCTGTCTAAGTTGGCCAGTTGTGTTTTCTTTTGATGGGTAATAATCGAATGGTTACTCCGCCTGCGATATCGGTATACAGAGGGAGACTTTGTACAAAAGTCGTTTGCTTAGGTACCTCTGTCCTATTCGTGTTTCTATCGTAAAGCAGTTGTGTTTACATGGCTGTGTTTCGGTTTGAAGGGTGGGATATGGCGTGAATTTACTGGGTACAGAGGAATAACATCGGAGTCCTCAGGAATGGCAACGCATAGGGGGTATCATGGGCGAAACATGTTATGTCCATGGTACTGCTCATGTCTATAGGCGACGGTTACCACTTTCCATCAGGTGGGCCGTCAGCTTGTTTGTCATTCTAAGTTGTGTAAAAAAAATCTCTTTCCCCCGATCAAATCAGGTCAGTTAGCCCATCGTGATGAGTTCCGCTTGGATTAATTACGATGGTTTCCAGGAGGAACTGCGTAGAGGTCAACCTGATAGGGTGTATTGTGGGGAATGGGTTTGTTAGTAATGAGGTCTAACAACCCCATTGCTAGCAGTAAACCTTGTCATCTCGACCTCCACGCGGTTCCACTTGGAAATTCAACTTGCAATTAGTCACGATGAACTAATTGTGCCAGTGTACTTTTTTATACAACTTAGAATGGCAAACAAGCTGGCGGCCCACCTGATAGAAAGTAGTAACCGTCGCCTATAGACATGAGCAGTACCATGGACATAACATGTTTCGCCCACGATACCCCCTATGCGTTGCCATTCCTGAGGACTCCGGTGTTATTCCTCTGTACCCTATAAATTCACGCCATATCCCACCCTTCAAACCGTAACACAGCCATGCAAACACAACTGCTTCATGATTGAAACACGAATGGGACAGAGGTACCCAAGCAATCGACTTTTGTACAAAGTTTAATAGACCATTGTTAGCAATATACCCTCTCAGGTCGATCTCCACGAGGTTTCCCATAGAAACCATAGCGGTTTACTCTTGAATTCGTCATTATAGTCTAACTGGTCTGCATTCATCCTCATCTATCATTTTTCACTGGTAGGGCACCAGCGTATACCGATAGCACAGGCAGGGCATCATTCCATTCTTACATTCCATTCTCTCATTAAAGAAGACCTATTTACGTCCTCACTCATGTCTCTATGGGAGACCGCTATAGCATATGACGGGGTTACCATTACATTTTCAACCATTAAAAACAAAATACTCAAAAACTAGGTTGCGCGGGAACAATACAGTTATTATTAAAAATGTTATTGCAGGCGTTCATAGGCTACAGTAACCACTTACCATCAGGTGGACCGTATGCTTGATTGCCACCTCAGTGGTATAAAAATCATAATTTCTGCCCTGTTTAATGTACTAGCTTTACCTGTATGTTTTTAGACGTAGGTACCCACTTCTAGCTGTGGAACAATATGAAACATACACCAAAATTGAATTTAATTTGGCGTGGCAGTATTTTCGTGGTGCCCTGTGCAAACATACATACTACAGACAGACAGACAAAAATTCCAAAAACTATTGTTTTGCTTCTATTCCTTTTGTTAAGACCTTTTTATACCACTGAGGTGGTAAACAAGCATACGGCCCACCTGATGGTAAACGGTTACCGTAGCCTATGAACGCCTGCAATACCAGAGATATTACGCGCGCGTTGCCGACCCTGAAGAAACCTCTTTACCCCCCTATTGAAGAACCTCCATACTAAATTTCCATAAACATCTGTGTAAAGTCATCTATAGTTTACATGTTTTGATATACCTACTTATCGCAAAGATTATATATATTCTTTATTGCACTAAAACATACAGTAACAACAATAAGTTAATAACAATGTTAGCAAAGGCGAACTTATTTCTAAAAGAGATTTCTTCCAGTCAACCTAACGCAGTGGCATAGGAAGTAGTGAGTGGGCAGTAGTAGTGCAAGACAGAAATTTAAGTAAATATTTACATAAATTATAAATAATTAAATATATACACACATTCATACATATATATACATACATACATACACACACACATATATATATATATATATATATATATATATATATATATATATATATACATATATTCACATACATACACTTTATGGGATTATAGAAAGGACAACACCGCGTCTATATTAAAAACGGCATTTATTATTTAAATAATTAATAGTAACACAATTTGTAAATCGATCTCGTCATAAAATTAACTCTTCACCATATAACATTAACATTCGAGGCCGCGCGTTGTGCTGTCATGTTTGTTTGTAATTGTCTTAAAAAAAATAGCCCCATTACTAGCAACATACCCTACCTGGTCGACCTCCACGTGGTTCCCCCTGGAAACCATCGTGGCTAATTCTAGTTGAATTCGTCAGGATGGGCTAACTGATCTGCTTTCATCCTCATCAGTCATCTATCACTGGTGCCCCGCTAATGTATACCGATAGCGCAGACGGGGTTACCATACCCTCATCACCCATTAAAAAAAATAGCCTTAAATGATCACATTTATTTCGATAATAGATACTTCATTGCAAAAAATAACCAGTACTAGCAAATATATATCATGTTTTTTTTTATACAACTTAGAATGGCAAACAAGCTGACGGCCCACCTGATGGAAAATGGTAACCGTCGCCTATAGACATGAGCAGTACCGTGGACATAACAGAGTATACTGTTTCGCCCATGATACCCCCCATGCGTTGCCATTCCTGAGGACTCAGGTGTTATTCCTCTGTATCCAGTAAATTCACGCCATGTGTGTGTGAATACGTAATGCACACATAAAAAACTGGCTAAGTACGAGTCGGATTTGTGTAAATTATAATAAAAAAATGTACTTTATTTTTTAATAACTTGTAACAACAAATTTACAGTTTTTGGATTTTACCCTTTACTTGTGCTGTATAACATTGCTTCTTAGTAAATGGCTTGTTTCTAGGTCACCGAGCTATAAGCTGTCGTATCATTTGATTGCGTTGACCTAGTGATTTCACAGTTTCAAAGGAATGCAGTCTTGTATATTTGATATTAATTCAACTTGATACCTCCATGCGATTCTTAGAAAAAGGATATTGACTGACAGACAGAATACATTGCAATTGAGAACATTTTCAAGCGGATTGTCTACTCCTAAATACTATAACCAAGTTTAAAAAAACATCTTAATATCGGAAGTTATTCAATATTACCTTTATTTGTATTAAATGAGAGAGGAACATATGTTTTATATAAAGAATCTGACACATATTCCCATAGAGGTCTTTGAACTCTTTCCAACGAACGAAGACATTTCTTAAGTCAATTCTCAATTCTTTCATTGATAATTATGTAATTTTCAGTATTTTTATTATAAAAGTGTTTTAATATCGCGGTATCACTATTAAACATTCTGTGATGTCACTGCAAAGGACGGCAACGATTCTCCTATATTTTAATTGACAGATGTCAGAGGCAACATTTTTGAAGGTTATTTTTTAAAGTACTATTTTTTACGCGAACCTTAACTTTTCAATTAAAAAGATAACATTAAAATGGTATATAAAATCTATTATAACAGCACAGCACAGCGCAAGACCTACATACAAGCACAACAATCACTTCATTAGGTATAGTATACACAGATTATATAAATTACTTTTTCCCGCCATTTCCCTGCCATACCAGAGACAATTATCTCATTTTTATATTATCCTATCTGTGACAGCGGACATGAGCCGCGAGACAGAGAATACCCGAATTTCGTAGATTTATATTTTAATATTATTATGTCTGTTAATTCTAACTATAGCTAACATCTATTTGTTATCCATTAACATTCATGTTCATAATGTTTAGTTTGACACTTGATTAGGTACTAAAGTGGCCCGTACACTTCGTTTAGAGCTTGACATAATAGGTAAGTACTTTCATAATGTAAGATAAATATAGTCATATTTCGAAAATGCTGTTCCAGCTACATTAAAAGATGGAAGAAAGATGGTAATGGTCGAAAAGGGAGTGTATATAATAAATTAAATAGAGTGAATAAATAACAATTAACTTGAAAAGATCTATGCCTATTAATTCTTCTCTTTCCGCGTCTAGGGAAAGTAGATAAAGTTTTGTTTGAGAAATCAGTTCAGGGTACAATAGGACTGATATACCTGAAGAAGGTAAAAGCCCTTAAAATAACATAAAAAAAAAAACTTGAAAAGATTTGTTGGAAATCTCTTATTAGAGATAACCTCGCCTTTGTACATTACATTAAAAATTAAAATGTTCTCTATATTATGTCTGTGTAGGATAAAGAATAAACAAAGAGATATGATTGTAAATATAGATAAATGGAAAAGAAAACATACAACACGGACAATGGATGAATGAATGAATAAATAAAAAATTCTTTGTTGTTTTTTTTTTAAATGATACAGATTATAAAGATCAGATATTACAAAAAGTAGACTTGTTATTTAATTAGTAATGTTTGCCACTTGCATTCATTTCTGCAAATTGTATGACTGTAAGCTAGGGTCTATTGGGAGGCTTATAGTAAATGAAGGCCACATTAAAGACTTTATAACAATTGACTAAAACAATATATCAGCTCTAAACGAGGTATTTTTTTTTTTAATTTTTTAATGGAAACTCAAGGTCCCTTAGATTGGAGTCTAGCTCTAAACGATGTAAATACAGGCTGTTTCATAATTTTGAGGATTTATAATTTCTCTTAAAAATACATAGGATATTACACACTAGCTGGCTTGGTCCAAATATATGCGCTAAACAGACAGTGACAATCTGTGACGCGTTTGTGTATACAAACTAAATAAAATGTATAAACAATTTCAATTTGCATTCAGCAAAATCTCCATACACATTATGACGTACAATTTAAAAGAGCATTATATATCAGTATGTATGCGTGTTCAAGTTACAAAACCTATATTATACTCATAATGAATTTATTTGGCACTGTATTAGAAATTAGTAGTTTATAAGTAACCGAGTGAAGCGTGGCCATACTGAGGGCATGCACGCCGCCGGAAGCGATGTTTTATACCATTTTATATCAAATTTATTTTAGTTATAAAAATATAAATTGTGTTAAAAATTTCATTCATGGCATAAACAACAAGTTAAAACACGATGCGACATTTATATTATTGCTTATTATATGTGAAAAAAAAAAAAACATATACATATGGAAAATTTTGCTGATCTAGCTTTTAATATCAGAAACAGCACGCAAGTAGATACTTGTACATCGACAAACCTGAGAATATTACGCTAATAATTCCAGTACACAGGTTCGATGTTTGTTGGAGAGTAAAATTTAATAAACTCTGATTAGAATTAATAACAATTAATTTAATTTTTAATTGTTAAACATTTTTTTAAATATTATAAATATATTATACATCTTGCTATTGGATATATGTGTCCCAGCTTTTGGCATTACCATATTCGTTTCATAATTCGCGTGGCTTTCGAAGAAACAACTGTTTGGTAAATTAAGTAGCCATTATAAACAATATAAAAATAATACTAAGAACAGGAATTAAAGCTTCAAGAGACCTGTCGTCTGATTGATAAAAATAATTATTTGTGATGCGACCAGCACAGACGAGAGGCCCCTTACACATACAAACAGAAATTACATTTCAAATACATAATTCTCACAGCGTCGACACTTTAACAACATCTGTTTAAAACGTTGACTCAAATAATGCTTAATTATATTATATAATATATAAATATAATTAAAAAAAAAAATGTACACAATAAATTCTAAGAGTTCGTAAAACGAAACGTTCAAATTCACACATTTAAAAAAATAGTTGATAGAATAGAGATCACAGAAAATGGAAGATTGCATTGCATTGTAAATAATTGTAAAAAAACATTAATAAAAATCACAGCGTTACACGCGTACAACGGCTGACATTGTTGCAATGGCGGACAGGGGTCATCGTGCGGCACACGTGGACAATATTATTCATTTTTTTTATACCACTGAGGTGGCAAACAAGCATACGGCCCACCTGATGGTAAGCGGTTACCGTAACCTATGAACACCTGCAATACCAGGGGTATTACGCGCGCGTTGCCGACCCAATTTTTTCATCTCTGTACGTATTACATCTAATAGTAACTACACGTTATGTCAGGCCGTATACAATTTGTGATTTGGGTCCCGTCGATTTAGTATTAGGTAACAACAATATCAGCGGGCTCATCGTATTACAAATCAACAAGAATATTGAGAAATTCTCTCAACAATCATGAATATCCAATGAGACTTAACCCTTTGCACTCCGTTATTACCTTATTTGCGACGTTAAAATGCTAACATTAAATCCACTGTAGCGGTTACGGCGAAACTGTTTTACTGACTCAACTTAAGAGACAGATTGTTAGCAATGGAGTTTAGCAGCCCTATTGCTAGCAATATACCCTCTATCGGGTCGATCTCTACGTGGTTCCCCCTAGTGAACAATTCTTGTTGAATTCGTCACAATGGGCTAACTGACCTGCTTCATCCTCACCAATCATCCCTCACTGGTGCCTTGCCAGTATATACCGATAGCGCAAGCGGGGTACCATTTCATTATCACCCATTAAAAAAAAAACTGACACAACGCCCTTTATAAAATAGTTAAGAAATAAATATTTTATTGCAACGACTCCATTTTTATTTTACATCACAGGCTCTCTAGTTAAGCGGCGAGCGAATTCGTCGATGGAATCGACATCGCTAGCGAATCCGTGAGTTGGAATGCGTCATCCGACGTTGCTATCTCATTCTAACTCTCACGGACTCGCTAGTGATGTCGATTCCATCGACGAAATTCGCTTGCCACTTGTCTAGAGGGCCAGGTATGTACTTGTAACTAATACAGTGCTGGAGTATCCTCTATGAGTTATTAGGCTCTAGTGCAAAGGGTTAATGATATTCATTCTTGGCGAGCGTAGTCAGGCCTCGTAACCAACATATAAAAACCTTGGCGTTATTTATCTATAAAAATGTTAATTTGTACCTCTAACCTTTTTTTTTTTTATAACTTGGCATCTCGGATTACACAGTAATAGTTAAGTAATTCAAATTAAATTTTAAATATAAAAATACAAGTTTTTACCAAGAATTCTCCACTAGTTAAAAATACACGTAAGTTATTATGGTCATGTAAATAAATAAACAGTCCCCAGCTATATAACAAAATTGCTCGCTGACCCTCGTTTTCAAAAATATAACTTTAGAGGGTACAGGATTAGTATTGGCACAGTCGGCTCGTGTACTGCATTGAGGGCATCTTTCGTCTACGTGTATCTAGCGAAATATTACAAGTTTATAAAAAACTACCGCACGTTACAAACGCACGGACACTACCTATATAACAATATCTTGTGTACGCTCAATTATAACTATCGGTACACAGTGTGTGCGTACGCGCAGCTGTATCTCTGTCGTGGTTATTACTCGATCTCGTGGGGAGGACGGTCACCCATTTTACTTGGGGGGTAAGGGATTGTCAGAAATGGAGTTTGACAGCCCTATTGCTAATAATATACCCTATTAGGTTGACCTCCACGTGGTTCCCCCTGGAAACCATCGTGAACAATTCTTGTTGAATTCATCCTCACTTATCATCCTTCACTGGTGCCCCGCCGGTGTATACCGATAGCACGGGCGGGGATACCATTCCATTATCATTCATTAAAAAAAACCATCTTACTTTGTTCAATCATTATTGTAGAGTTTATGGGGTTTTTCTTTTATTATGGGGTTATGAGTTATCGTCAGTCTAGTATAATTAATTAGGATTGCGTTACACAAAAAAGCCGACTTCGATCGTGGGAAGATTAGTGGTTTTGATTAAAAAAATAAACCATTGAACTGTATTCAATAAAATTTCCATGGGACCAATATGTAAGTGTATTTTTTCAGGTAAAAAAAGATTTTTCCAAATCTGTTTACAATTGGCGGAGTTATGAGGTGACAAACATAAAAAAAAAAAAACAAAACGACCGAATTGAGAACGAACTTCTTTTTGAAGTCGATTGAAAATGTAAATTATCAGCTTTTTAATACAAACAAATGTGGGTTAGAAAATATTAAAAAGTTTGAGCCATACAGCTTGACAGCTGGATGAGCCTTGTATGTACCTACATAATCTTGTGTCTCAATATACCTACCTACAAATCAATATACCTAATTTATTTAGAAATATATTCTGTTTTACTCCTACCAAAAGAACCCTAATAATATCCATTGACGGTGAACAGTGTCCGTCCGTCCACCACTCATACAACTGCGGTACGCGAACGCACCCAGTAATTACTTACTCACAATAAGTATCGACTAAAATTGTATATATATCTATAATATTTTAAACTATTTAGGCCGTAACCGGAGGCGTCGCCTCGTGCAGGGCAGCTGCACGTGTCCCACTCTAATAATAACGTTACAACAGCTATTCATATACTACGTCAATACAGTGACGTCGCTTGTATTGCATTCGAGACCTCTTCTACGCGAGTGGCAAACGAATCTATATAGAAAGAACGGGACAGCAACATACGGCGCCTCATTCCCTCTCACGCGTGCGGTAACGAAAACTTGCAACTGATACATTGTGATTCGATATAAATAAATAAATGCTTTAATACAATCGCAGTGACAGATTGTTAGAGAAGTAAAAAACTATGTGAACAAATATTTCAACGTAGCAGACATTGAAACTAGAAAATTTATATATAATTATTAAATTTTACATTTACTTTTAGTAAATATATAATTTATGCCATAATAAATTGAGTTGACATCACATTTAACAATTGGTACTGTCCGTCAGTAACAAAGCGACGCCACTGTTAAACGACATTAAAACTATGCCTATAATATTAATAATAAATAATTAAAAAATATCAAAGTTTAAAATATACTTGTTGCGAAGAGTTCTTCATGATAAACATTACAATAAAATGCGATTTGAGACGTTCACTTAAATAATTGTTACAAGTTGATAGCTTAACCCTTCTTTGCATAATGGTGGAAATTTCCATCATCACATTGAACGCCCAAAAATTATATAAAAGAACAAGTTCACTTTAAATTGATCGTGTCTGGATACCTTTTTAATGTCCATTGTATAAAAAAAAATCATAGCTGCCAAATTTATTTTTTTAACCATTTTTCCTTTAATTTTGAACATGAATTATGCCACCTTGATTTATTTCACCAATAAAAAAAATCATGCAAAGAAGGGTTAACTCGTTCGCTCGCGTAACACTCCATTCACCTGTCATACATTTTGTTCACAACAAAATAAAATTATTAGGTACTTAGTATAAGTTAATAACTTAATCTAAACATTAAAATCCCGTGTAAATAAATTAATAAAAAAAAAAAAAAAAAATAATTCATATAAAAATACTCTAAAGTCGTCGAAAATAGCTACGAGTGTAGGAATGCAGTGGTTGGATTACAGTAACAACCGTATGGATACGCCGGGCCGCCTTTGTATCGCCCTCAGTCGTTTACTTTGCATATGCATGAAAATTGACACGGATTGTCCATCAGGATTATCACGGATTGACCACATATCATATGTTATATGAGGTCATAATAATTAATTAACGACTTCAACCGCACAAAATTATCTACATACATACAAACGGACAATTAAGTACTACACGTCAAAACATAGTCAAAGTCGGCGATGGTTGATTACAAACTAGACGGAACGCACCAAGCGTAATATGTCATATCGATAAAATTATATAAAAGTAACATTGCTGTTGTCACGAGATTTTAAATTAAACCCCATTACTATTTATCTTATTCTATATATAAAAAACATAATAATATCAGTAGACATTTAAAAAGTATAATATAATAAGTCATATAAAAAGTATACACAGTATGATACTTCCGGTTCCATTTTTAAATTTAAATTTATTTGGCAAATAATTACTACTGGCAGTGCTTCTTAAGCATGCCGAGAGATTCAAAGGCGACCCGATGCACCGAGGTAACTTTGTATAAAAATAATACAACAATAACGTAAAGCTACTTCTCTCTTACTTCTCACAGAAGTAAAACAAATGCGGCAAATCTTCCACAAGGTCCTTGCACTACGCACGGCAGGCGCCTACCTCACTCTGACGAGGAGCTTTTTCCACCGAAGCCGAATGCCCTTCCTCGGCTGTGGAGCTCTGTGAGCCTCGTCCGGAGGCTTCGTTTTCGATCTGTTGAGACATTGAGATTTTGAGTTGCAAGCTAAATGAGATACAAACAATAGAAGAGCGGTCAATAGTCAGAGGTCGCTGGCGGCGGCCCAGCGTGCGTCGTCGCTGGGGTGCGTGAGGTAGCGAGGTGTAGCTGTAGTGTGCGGTGTGCGGTGTGCGGTGTGCGGTGTGCGGGCGGTACGTACGGTCAGCGGTCGCTGGCGGCGGCCCAGCGTGCGTCGTCGCTGGGGTGCGTGAGGTAGCGAGGTGTAGCTGTAGTGTGCGGTGTGCGGTGTGCGGGCGGTACGTACGGTCAGCGGTCGCTGGCGGCGGCCCAGCGTGCGTCGTCGCTGGGGTGCGTGAGGTAGCGAGGTGTAGCTGTAGTGTGCGGTGTGCGGTGTGCGGGCGGTACGTACGGTCAGCGGTCGCTGGCGGCGGCCCAGCGTGCGTCGTCGCTGGGGTGCGTGAGGTAGCGAGGTGTAGCTGTAGTGTGCGGTGTGCGGTGTGCGGTGTGCGGTGTGCGGTGTACGGGCGGTACGTACGGTCAGCGGTCGCTGGCGGCGGCCCAGCGTGCGTCGTCGCTGGGGTGCGTGAGGTAGCGAGGTGTAGCTGTAGTGTGCGGTGTGCGGTGTGCGGTGTGCGGGCGGTACGTACGGTCAGCGGTCGCTGGCGGCGGCCCAGCGTGCGTCGTCGCTGGGGTGCGTGAGGTAGCGAGGTGTAGCTGTAGTGTGCGGTGTGCGGTGTGCGGTGTGCGGTGTGCGGGCGGTACGTACGGTCAGCGGTCGCTGGCGGCGGCCCAGCGTGCGTCGTCGCTGGGGTGCGTGAGGTAGCGAGGTGTAGCTGTAGTGTGCGGTGTGCGGTGTGCGGTGTGCGGTGTGCGGTGTGCGGTGTGCGGTGTACGGGCGGTACGTACGGTCAGCGGTCGCTGGCGGCGGCCCAGCGTGCGTCGTCGCTGGGGTGCGTGAGGTAGCGAGGTGTAGCTGTAGTGTGCGGTGTGCGGTGTGCGGTGTGCGGTGTGCGGTGTACGGGCGGTACGTACGGTCAGCGGTCGCTGGCGGCGGCCCAGCGTGCGTCGTCGCTGGGGTGCGTGAGGTAGCGAGGTGTAGCTGTAGTGTGCGGTGTGCGGTGTGCGGTGTGCGGTGTGCGGTGTGCGGGCGGTACGTACGGTCAGCGGTCGCTGGCGGCGGCCCAGCGTGCGTCGTCGCTGGGGTGCGTGAGGTAGCGAGGTGTAGCTGTAGTGTGCGGTGTGCGGTGTGCGGTGTGCGGTGTGCGGGCGGTACGTACGGTCAGCGGTCGCTGGCGGCGGCCCAGCGTGCGTCGTCGCTGGGGTGCGTGAGGTAGCGAGGTGTAGCTGTAGTGTGCGGTGTGCGGTGTGCGGTGTGCGGTGTGCGGGCGGTACGTACGGTCAGCGGTCGCTGGCGGCGGCCCAGCGTGCGTCGTCGCTGTGGTGCGTGAGGTAGCGAGGTGTAGCTGTAGTGTGCGGTGTGCGGTGTGCGGTGTGCGGGCGGTACGTACGGTCAGCGGTCGCTGGCGGCGGCCCAGCGTGCGTCGTCGCTGGGGTGCGTGAGGTAGCGAGGTGTAGCTGTAGTGTGCGGTGTGCGGTGTGCGGTGTGCGGGCGGTACGTACGGTCAGCGGTCGCTGGCGGCGGCCCAGCGTGCGTCGTCGCTGGGGTGCGTGAGGTAGCGAGGTGTAGCTGTAGTGTGCGGTGTGCGGTGTACGGGCGGTACGTACGGTCAGCGGTCGCTGGCGGCGGCCCAGCGTGCGTCGTCGCTGGGGTGCGTGAGGTAGCGAGGTGTAGCTGTAGTGTGCGGTGTGCGGTGTACGGGCGGTACGTACGGTCAGCGGTCGCTGGCGGCGGCCCAGCGTGCGTCGTCGCTGGGATGCGTGAGGTAGCGAGGTGTAGCTGTAGTGTGCGGTGTGCGGTGTGCGGTGTGCGGGCGGTACGTACGGTCAGCGGTCGCTGGCGGCGGCCCAGCGTGCGTCGTCGCTGGGGTGCGTGAGGTAGCGAGGTGTAGCTGTAGTGTGCGGTGTGCGGTGTACGGGCGGTACGTACGGTCAGCGGTCGCTGGCGGCGGCCCAGCGTGCGTCGTCGCTGGGGTGCGTGAGGTAGCGAGGTGTAGCTGTAGTGTGCGGTGTGCGGTGTGCGGTGTGCGGGCGGTACGTACGGTCAGCGGTCGCTGGCGGCGGCCCAGCGTGCGTCGTCGCTGGGGTGCGTGAGGTAGCGAGGTGTAGCTGTAGTGTGCGGTGTGCGGTGTACGGGCGGTACGTACGGTCAGCGGTCGCTGGCGGCGGCCCAGCGTGCGTCGTCGCTGGGGTGCGTGAGGTAGCGAGGTGTAGCTGTAGTGTGCGGTGTGCGGTGTACGGGCGGTACGTACGATCAGCGGTCGCTGGCGGCGGCCCAGCGTGCGTCGTCGCTGGGATGCGTGAGGTAGCGAGGTGTAGCTGTAGTGTGCGGTGTGCGGTGTACGGGCGGTACGTACGGTCAGCGGTCGCTGGCGGCGGCCCAGCGTGCGTCGTCGCTGGGATGCGTGAGGTAGCGAGGTGTAGCTGTAGTGTGCGGTGTGCGGTGTGCGGTGTGCGGGCGGTACGTACGGTCAGCGGTCGCTGGCGGCGGCCCAGCGTGCGTCGTCGCTGGGGTGCGTGAGGTAGCGAGGTGTAGCTGTAGTGTGCGGTGTGCGGTGTACGGGCGGTACGTACGGTCAGCGGTCGCTGGCGGCGGCCCAGCGTGCGTCGTCGCTGGGGTGCGTGAGGTAGCGAGGTGTAGCTGTAGTGTGCGGTGTGCGGTGTGCGGTGTGCGGGCGGTACGTACGGTCAGCGGTCGCTGGCGGCGGCCCAGCGTGCGTCGTCGCTGGGGTGCGTGAGGTAGCGAGGTGTAGCTGTAGTGTGCGGTGTGCGGTGTACGGGCGGTACGTACGGTCAGCGGTCGCTGGCGGCGGCCCAGCGTGCGTCGTCGCTGGGGTGCGTGAGGTAGCGAGGTGTAGCTGTAGTGTGCGGTGTGCGGTGTACGGGCGGTACGTACGGTCAGCGGTCGCTGGCGGCGGCCCAGCGTGCGTCGTCGCTGGGGTGCGTGAGGTAGCGAGGTGTAGCTGTAGTGTGCGGTGTGCGGTGTACGGGCGGTACGTACGGTCAGCGGTCGCTGGCGGCGGCCCAGCGTGCGTCGTCGCTGGGGTGCGTGAGGTAGCGAGGTGTAGCTGTAGTGTGCGGTGTGCGGTGTGCGGTGTGCGGGCGGTACGTACGGTCAGCGGTCGCTGGCGGCGGCCCAGCGTGCGTCGTCGCTGGGGTGCGTGAGGTAGCGAGGTGTAGCTGTAGTGTGCGGTGTGCGGTGTACGGGCGGTACGTACGGTCAGCGGTCGCTGGCGGCGGCCCAGCGTGCGTCGTCGCTGGGGTGCGTGAGGTAGCGAGGTGTAGCTGTAGTGTGCGGTGTGCGGTGTACGGGCGGTACGTACGGTCAGCGGTCGCTGGCGGCGGCCCAGCGTGCGTCGTCGCTGGGATGCGTGAGGTAGCGAGGTGTAGCTGTAGTGTGCGGTGTGCGGTGTACGGGCGGTACGTACGGTCAGCGGTCGCTGGCGGCGGCCCAGCGTGCGTCGTCGCTGGGATGCGTGAGGTAGCGAGGTGTAGCTGTAGTGTGCGGTGTGCGGTGTGCGGTGTGCGGGCGGTACGTACGGTCAGCGGTCGCTGGCGGCGGCCCAGCGTGCGTCGTCGCTGGGGTGCGTGAGGTAGCGAGGTGTAGCTGTAGTGTGCGGTGTGCGGTGTACGGGCGGTACGTACGGTCAGCGGTCGCTGGCGGCGGCCCAGCGTGCGTCGTCGCTGGGGTGCGTGAGGTAGCGAGGTGTAGCTGTAGTGTGCGGTGTGCGGTGTGCGGTGTGCGGGCGGTACGTACGGTCAGCGGTCGCTGGCGGCGGCCCAGCGTGCGTCGTCGCTGGGGTGCGTGAGGTAGCGAGGTGTAGCTGTAGTGTGCAGTGTGCGGTGTACGGGCGGTACGTACGGTCAGCGGTCGCTGGCGGCGGCCCAGCGTGCGTCGTCGCTGGGGTGCGTGAGGTAGCGAGGTGTAGCTGTAGTGTGCGGTGTGCGGTGTACGGGCGGTACGTACGGTCAGCGGTCGCTGGCGGCGGCCCAGCGTGCGTCGTCGCTGGGGTGCGTGAGGTAGCGAGGTGTAGCTGTAGTGTGCGGTGTGCGGTGTACGGGCGGTACGTACGGTCAGCGGTCGCTGGCGGCGGCCCAGCGTGCGTCGTCGCTGGGGTGCGTGAGGTAGCGAGGTGTAGCTGTAGTGTGCGGTGTGCGGTGTACGGGCGGTACGTACGGTCAGCGGTCGCTGGCGGCGGCCCAGCGTGCGTCGTCGCTGGGGTGCGTGAGGTAGCGAGGTGTAGCTGTAGTGTGCGGTGTGCGGTGTACGGGCGGTACGTACGGTCAGCGGTCGCTGGCGGCGGCCCAGCGTGCGTCGTCGCTGGGATGCGTGAGGTAGCGCGTGCCGACGCGGTGCTCGAGCGCGCGCAGGTCGAGCCAGGCCTCGCGCGTCTGCAGCCACGCGTGCGCCACCGACTTGTCCACCGACAGCCGCTTGCGCTGCTTCACTTGCAGTAGGTTGTTGATTAGGTCGATAGCTGAAAACGGGTACACCCATATTGTAGTCGCCTTCATAATTCTGCTGCCAAGTATTATGGATGATTTGTTCAGAGATATATTTTAGCACGAATTGTCAAAATTTGCATAAATTTTTAATTATTATAAATGTCAAATTGCCGTGTGGTTCCGGCATAGAATAGGTTAGTCCTTCCTTTCCCGTGGGTGTCGTAAAAAGCGATTAAGGAAGGGCGAGTGATGGGTAATAGCGTCCCTCTTAAAATATCCTTAAAACCTAACTGATGATGATGATGAAATGTCAAATTTCACAATTATGATTCGATTAAGTTAATAAACATATCCCGGTTATGCGGACGAAGCCATGGATAAAACTAGTTCTATCTATAATTTTAACATACTATTGCACAATTTTTTTAGATTAAGTTTCATCTATACATTTAGGTTCATACAGACGCACTCCGTTGGCTGTAAATCGTCCATTATTTATTTTACATACATAACATATTATATATATTCTAAATTATTTTCACTAAGTATTTTAAATGGTAAGTTTTTAGGTTTTAATTTTTCTACGTAAATACATTTACATTAGTGATAGAAACGTGTTACCTTCTGATGAGATCTCGCGCCATGGCGTGGGCGGGTACATGAAGGCGGCGTTCTGTATCTGCTCGTTGATGTCCTCGTCCTCGTTGAAGGGGAAGGTGCCGGACAGCGACACGTACACGATCACCCCCACCGACCACATGTCCAGCGAGCGGTTGTAGCCCTTGTTGCGCAGTACCTCCGGCGCTGTCGGCGTATAAACCATGGTCACTACTAGGTCCCTTACGAGATTTCATTTAACTCGCAATGTATGTTAGTTGATGATCTCTTAGATACAACGGTAGGTACGTTGCTTTGTATAATGAGAACCGGGCTGAATTCTCGGTCCGGTCAATTTGGAAAACATTTTTTAATTGGCCCGTGTCTGCGTGTTATGGGCTGTGCCCCCAGAGGCTCGTTGCCTCGTAACACAAAGTTATTTTTTACAAAGTTACAAAGCTTATTCGCCATTAGCTTCATTGTCAATTGTATAAAACTATATATATATATATATATATATATATATATATATATATATATATATATATATATATATATATATATATATATATATATATATAATTGCCAATCTAGTTGTAAATTGGATACTTCTTCATATTTTAACTGTTCAACTAATCGCCTAAAAATTTCTTAGATACGTAGTATTTGGGACGGAGAAATAAATGCGACACTTTGACTAGGTTTACGTTTACGGTTTAGGTATTTTTTTTTATAACGCATGGGACAAACGACTCTTTGGCCCACTTAATGGTAAGTGACTACCGCCGCCCATGATTACCCGCAACACCAGAGGCATTGCAACTATGAATAAATATTGTCAAGTGTATGTCTTACCCAAGTAGGCGGGCGTGCCGACGACGGAGCGTCTGAACGACTTCTCGCCGATGATCCTGGCGAAACCGAAGTCGCAGAGTTTCACCTGCGGGAACTCCTCGTCGGTGGATAGCAGGACGTTCTCTGGCTTCAGGTCGCAGTGCACTATGTTCTTCTCATGCAGGTGTTTCAGCGCCACTAGGATCTATACAGTATATAGGGAATCAAAAACTGGTTCTGTGTTGTAGGTTATGGGCCCAGATGTTCGGTGTCAAGGTAACAAGTGAACTTGACACACAGAAAAGAAGAATCCGAGTGGTAAATTTCTAAAGCACGACTTTGTGGTAGAAAACATACGGCCCGTCTAATGGTAGACGCTTGTAACATTAGGGACGTACGCGTGCGTTGCCGACTCTTGAGAAACTTATTACGCCCTTTTTGAAGAACCCTCTGCAGTAAAAGCAAGTTTTGATAGTATGGTCGCCAAGATATGAAGAGGTATATTTCGGATATGCTATGCTGATTTTGTTAATATTAAAGTGTGTTTTACTTATCGAACAACTTATTTAACTAACAACTAACTTATTAATTTACATATAGAGAATTCTCCTGGTCATCTTTTGACAATTTCTTTATATATTTTTTTAGAGTTAAAATTTGCAGGTAGCAATATTTAACGGAGATATTTATGAAAGCAGACTTGAAGTTCCTTCAAGTGTATAAATCAGTATTTTGCAGGACAGAGGTGATTGGTTTTTTGATACCACTGAGGTGGCAAACTAGCATAGAGCCTACCTGATTGTAAGCGGTTACCGTAGCCTATGACCGCCTGCAATACCAGGGGTATTATGCATGCGTTACCGACCCTGAAGAAACCTCTTTACCCCTTTGGTAATGAGTACATGAACCAACTTAGATACAGGATGATTGCCGAAGGTCCTTTAGATAATCAGATTTCATTTTACAGAAGAGAAATAGAACATTTAATTTACCTGTGCAACTAAGAATTTTGTGATTCTCTCCGTCAGCCGTCCCTTTTCGTGCGATAGAATCATTTCCAGCATATCACCCTTAAGTTTCTCCATTACTACGAAGATTCTTTCCGGCGTCTCAAACATGCGTTCCAGGTCCACGACTCCCGGATGTGAGAGGTTCTGGAGGATTGCTACCTCGTTCTTGAGTTGGGCTTCTTGCTTGGTCGGGAAGCGGAGCTTGTCTATCACCTGCAGTCAACGATGTAGACAATTTTTAATGTTTCTAGAAACATTAACAAATTTATGGAGGACGGGTTATAAAGTTTGGCCTTCACGTAATATGGATGAAAATAGAACACAGACTACTTGTGAGGAAAAAATTTTATTTGGTTGTTTAGGTTTTGTTTCATTTGTTAATCGCATTGTATATTTCAATTAAGTATTTATTTGTATAAGTCAATTCATAATTGGACCGTATGCGATTTGTAGTATTCATACTCGTATCGAATTATTATTAAAATTCTATTAATATGTTGTTACAAATACACGTTATTGAATCTGGTTATTTCAATAATTTAAATACATTATGAGACTACGTTTATATTTTTTTTCACTTAAGTGTTGCAAATTTTGTTGTATTGATCCTTCGAGCCGGATACACTAATTTCACAAAAATAGCGCAATGAATCGCCAAGAGGAAATAGGTGCGATTTTTGTATTTATTTTTAAAACTGACTTCCAAAAAGTAGGTGATTATTTAACAGAAATGTACAACATTTAAGAAACGGCATTTCGACAGTGTACAATTAACGGTTGACATAATAATATCGACAAAGAGTTATATTGCATGATGAGTTAGAGTGCATAATGTATAGAACACTTATAAAATTGGTCTAAATTCTCCTAAAACAGTAGCCGGAGTAGAAGCAGACTTAACAGAACACAAAATCTCTATTTTCATTCATGTGTGGGTGTGCGGTACCTTGATGGCGACGGGGCGCTGCGTGCGGCGGTGCAGGCCGCCGTAGACGATGCCGAACTGGCCCGAGCCCAGCACCTCGTCCGGGTAGATCTGGTACACCTGCGCCATGTCGGTGGCGCGGCGCTCGCCGGCCGCGCCCGCGCCGGCCGCGCCGCCGTCCGCGTCGGCCGCGCCGGCCGCGTCGGCCGCGCCGGCCGCGCCCGCCGCCGCCTGCGTCACGGGCAGCAGCGCGTGCCGCACGGCCGTCTCCCACGACCGCGCCAGGTACGCGCCCACGCCCGAGTCGGGCGGCGGCAGCGGCGGCGGCACGCCCTGCCAGCCCGGGTCCACGCCCACCATGTAGTCCACGTTCGCCGTGCGCAGCTCGAAGCAGTGCATCACGTCTGCACACGCACACGCACACACACACACCACTCTTAGTTGCACACATCCACATAATATATCTATGATGATTTGGAAAAAAATATAACCGAACAAAGATTTTTTTTTATTTTAAAGCACCTTAGGAATGACATCTTAGAGAACTGAACTCATTTTATTCCGATCCCCCATCCCTTTATCAAAACAATTTGTTGAGTTTTTATTTTATGGAGAGACTAGAGTTTGTTTCTAGTAATTCTTGAAATAAATAGTATAGTATAGTTCTTGAAATAATAGTAAGTAGTTCTTGAAATAAATTACCAGAGTGCGGTTGCCTCGCGGTATCGACTGCGAGGATCTCGTTGAGTGGGATCTCCTTGTAGTACTTGGAGCCATGCTCCGACTGGAACAGTGTGATGGACTTGCTGTCCAGCCTCCAGTAGTGCCGTTTGATCTGTTACAACATCACCACACACTTACACAATCGGCCTAGACAATTTGATATTTTGAAAAATATAATAGATTTGACATTTTTTCTATTAAGAAATTGGGCATTAGCCCATGCTAACGAAACCATAGGTTTATTACTACTATCTAGGAATTTAGATACCTGATTACGTGTGACATATACTTACAGTTTTGTCCTTATTAGTAAAATGTACCAGCCAGCCCTCCTTCAGCCATTGTCCCTCGCGTTTCTTCGTGTGTTTCACCGACTGCACGATCCTCATCAGCGGTATGTTGGCGCTTGGGGAGGACGACGAGCTGGAATGTCACCACATATCAGCTCGAAATGCGCAGACCGGTAACGAGTGAATATGGCGAGATAATGTTTTTGAAATGTACGGAGGAAACTGCGAACTGCATAATTTCTAAGCGACTGCTTTAAAATTAGATTCTTATTAGTCTGAATTTGTTGTGGTAATGTTTCACAATGCCATTCCCAATTCTGAAGCCATTTTGATAATTCCATTTGCAATTATATTAAATCTAAAAACAGTTGACATCTATAAACTGTAAAGGAATTAGTATGTAAAATGGGCGTGCCCTCCCGTGTGCGTGGGTGGGTGTGCGTGTGCGTGTGCATGGATGCGCGTGTGCGTGGATGTGCGTGTGCGGGTGTGCGTGTGCTTGGATATGCGTGTGCGTGGGTGTGCGAGTGCATGGGTGTGCATGTGCGTGGGTGTGCATGTGCGTGGGTGTGCATGTGCGTTGTGGGTGTGCGTGTGCATGTGCCAGTGTGTGCGTGTGCGTGTGAGTGCATAAGCGTGGGTGAGCGTGAGCGTGGGTGTGCGTGTGCGTGGGTGTGCGTGTGCGTGGGTGTGCGTGCGTGCGTGCGTACCTGCTGGGGCGGCTGGCGGCGGGCAGCGTGTCGCGTTGCGGCGCCTCGCACTCCGACTCGCGCCGAGCCCGCATCTGCACCTGTGTCGACAAATATCGACAAACTCTTAAATGTGCTTTTGGCATACATCACGAATACGTAGCCGTAGGAACGTTACTAGATATATCGACGAAGTTGAATAAAGTTAAACTTTTGTTACAATCGTAATTTTAAATTGTTTTAAACACACTGCCACAGTACTCGTAGAAGATTAAAAACTTATTGCACGTAGTCTGTTTGTTTGTTTCACTTCATTGTAAAGTCTTAAAATACAGAATACAGAGTTTTTAAGAAAATAATGAGTACAATGGCGGACTTATCTACTAAAAGGGATTTCTTCCAGTTAATCTTTGCATGTCTGATATAAATGCAAAAATTATTTAATTTAGATAGAATAATAAATTTAGATTCTTTAATATTTATACATATAATTAAGAATAACCAAACATTGCCTTGCTTGGTACATTTCTTATTCTCATTTTTGAACGTAATATCGAGAGTATTACGGCTGAATAGCAGAAAGAAATACGATAGTGATAACAATGTAGTATGTGAGAGTACCTCATCGTCTGGTGCACTGGACGCGTTGTCCCCGCCGTCATCAGACTCGTCGTCGGGAAGCCGCGCATTTTCTATCTCGCCACTGCTGTTGTCTTGGAACTCACCTGCGTACAACATTACATCATACATACATACATATCTGTCACGCCTGTCTCCCATTAGGGTAGGCAGATATATATATATATATATATATATATATATATATATATATATATATATATATGTGTTTTGTTGCATTACTGATAATGAGTAATTCAAAAGTAATAATTTTAAACACTGCCATCTAGTGGAGATTTTACTAAGTGCACTGAAGAAATAAACAGCATACTTAAATACTTCTTTAATAGAAGGAAACTGTTAAAGAAAATGGATTGATTATATGAAAGAAGATTTGAGTTTCTGCTGTAAGACAAGTGAGATAACTGAATCACGATCGATTAAGAGGTAAAAAGAGAAGTTCTTGCTTCAAATAAGGGGAATGACGTAAGAGGAGCTCTCACCGTGCGAATCCCTGATCTCGCCGCCGCAGTCCTTGGGCACGAACTGCAGGCACTTCCTGTGCGCGTTGTAGTGGCAGTCGCGGCACTGCAGGCCCTGCTTGAAGAGGCCGCGCAGCAGGCGCTTGCAGTGGCGGCACACGGTGGGCCGCGTGTACGAGTGCACCTCGAACGTGTGCGGGATGCCGAGCCCGGCGGCCGGCGGCGCCGCCCAGCCTGTCGCACCCGACGGCGACCGGCTGCGCTTGCCCGTGCTGCCGCTCAGCTGTTCGAGGGCATATACACTCTTAATATATAATTGTAACTTTTTAGTTCCTTTTATCAATACGAAGTTTGCGAAAGTCAGTAGATTTACCAGAGGGAGACTTCGTACAAAAGTCGTTTGCTTGGGCACCTCTGTCCAAATCGTGTTTCTATTGTGAAGCAGTTGTGTTTGCATGGTTGTGTTTCGGTTTGAAGGGTGGTATATGGTGTGAATTTAATCTAACTGTAGTTGGCAATCCGCCCTGCCAAGCGCGGCAACTACTGGCAGAACTCTCCTTATGGGGAAGGCTTATGTCCAGCAGTGGACAGTTAACGGCTATAAAATAATAATAGTAATATAAAAATGGTAACATTTAGAATATTCCTTAGTAAGTAAGGTTGTATGTAATTACTACCTATTTGTACCTACCAGTGATATATATATATATTATACAACCTAGAATGGCAAACAAGCTGACGGTCCACCTGATGGAAAGTGGTAACCGTCGTCTATAGACATGAGCAGTACCATGGACATAACAGAGTATACTGTTTCGCCCATGCGTTGCCATTCCTGAGGACTCGGGTGTTATTCCTCTGTACCCAGTAAATTCACGCCATATCCCACCCTTCAAACCGAAACACAGCCATGCAAACACAACTGCTTCACGGTTGAAACACGAATGGGACAGAGGTACCTAAGCAATCGACTTTTGTACAAAGTCTCCCTCTGGAGTGTGTATGCATAATGCTCTTGGGTGTCTTTCTCTTATTAGATTAACTTAGGATACTTGCTACTTTACTTTTTAGGATTACTTTTAAATGCGATCCATCTTCAAGCCAATGATATATACGTAGTTATTTCTCTGGATCCACTTTCATAACCTGTCTCATACATACACAGTACTTTCGCTAGACTTTTGACATCGCCATCAGACAGTATACAGTTTATTATAACATTATATGGTATTTTTTTTTTATATTCTTTGTGGATGACCATTAAGTAAACAGTATATATATCTACGTATGTCCGATTACATTTTTAGACCAATTTTCTTTTAACCCTTTTAGTGCCATTTATTTTTACTCATATTTATTTAAAAATGCCAAAGAAATCTTTGTCGTGTTGATGTAATTTACCCTTGTCTCTAAAAAAACTGTATCTCCCCCAAAAATTATCCAATTTTATTATATTTTTTTTTACAGCAAGCTAAACCGCGACTGATTTCACGAGCGCTATGACGCTCGTGGCGCTTTTAGTTGCAATGCGCACAAGCGCGATGCCGCTCGTCGGCACTCCAAGGATTAAGTATGGTCATGACTGTTACATTTTAAAAAGTGGCCATTAAGGCTGCACACGTAACGGAAGCTTAAAAATGTAGTAACTTCTCCCGTTTTTCCAACATTTCCCTTCACTGCTCTGCTCCTATTGATCGTAGCGTGATGAAAAGTATACTATAACCTGCCCAGGAGTATGAAGAATAATTGTACCTAGTTTCGTTAAAATCCGCCGAGTAGTTTTTGTTTCTATAACGAACATACAAACAGACAGGCAGTCAGAGACAAAAATTGTACTGATTGCATTTTTAATCACCCCCTGAAATATATTTCATGTACAGAATTGACCTCTCTACAGATTTGTTATAAGTATAGATTACAGTTGCCACATCATAGGCCTTCAAGTATAATAAAGGTTGCTTAGAAACTCTTGATACCAGAGGGCGCCACCGTCACACGTCTAGTAACAGTTTACCAAATAAGACAAGAACAAATAGATTATATATAACAAGTTGAGTGATGGGTAGGTATTTTGAAATAAAAACAAAATGTTATTAAAAATACATTTATTTGAAGCAAGTTACATTACAAACAATCAAATTGTTGTAACAACGTCTACCCACCACCCAATCGAGTTAGTTTTTTGTGCAACATCATTACAATATGACATAAAAATTACAATGTAAAATAAAATAGATCATAACAAAATGTGCAATAAAAAAAAATATAAAAAAAAAAACAGTCTTAACAACTATGGACGGACTTAATATAACCCTTTCAGCTTTGCCGTAGTCGGGCATAAAAATAATTACACCATCGATACTGCTTTTACGAATAATCCAAACGACTGTACCAATGGATACAATATTTTTATATAAAATTGTAGCAATCCAGTGGACAACGCAGAAAAATATGTTCTATGTCAACAGATTACAGCTTAAAATCTAATAATTTGATATTTAGTGTTTTTTTTTTATACATATGGAGTATTGATGTACGTATCGGAATGAATGACGGTGGAACGTTGTATGCGTGGATCGGATCACGAGAAACACTGATGCTAAGAACAAGGAATTACATAAAAGGATAGATAAAATAAAAACTGTAAAGCACATAATTGTCTCTTTTCTTCTTATGCAAATATAATTAGTAAAAAGAGGACGAAAGATACACCATCAGTTGCTATTTTTGTCAATTCATAGCAGGTTAGTGTATAGAAAATGTTTGATATGTCAATTAATTGTCAATGACAAATTTTACATCACTAGATTATATATTCAACGTAGTTTATGCAGAAAGTATGCAAGCAGGTTGTATCCGAATTTGGTAGGGTTATACGGCCGTATAATATTACTATACTAGCCTGCTATGAATTGACAAAAGTAAGCAACTGATCGTGTATCTTTCGTCCTCTTTTTACTAATTACATTTGCATAAGAAGAAAGGAGGCAACCATATGGTTCACAGTTTTTATTTTATCCTTGCTTCTATATAATTCCTTGTTTTTAGCACTGATATATGAGTTTGTTTATGGCTCGGCTGATTCGGATATGAATTTGAAATCTCTTGCACTCCGTTGCACATCAATATTCCACATTTATATGCATTCAATACAGACTAATGATTAAATCATTCGTTATTTGAGTATAAATTTCAATTTTACTAATAATCTCGTTATTTTTGCCTTAAGAAAAATTAAAATCATATAATTAACTATAAATTGCATCTAATCCAACAGTTGTAGACACAATTGCGTAAGTATATTTAGAAATACCTTCCAAATTATTGCAGAGCTGAGATTCATTTAAAATTAAACCTAATTAAATCATTGATATAAGATACAGTTTCGTTTGATCAAGCTTCGATCCTAACATCCCTGTTATTTTAATGTATTTTTTATATCGAATGTCTTATAATGGATCCATCGTACCAGTACATGTTTCTATTCATATTGCTTAAAAAAAAAAAAAATATATATATATATATATATATATATTAATTGATAAAGCGTTAGTAACAGTTATCGACTATTCACTAATATCTTATTATAATCCTTATAATAATGAGTGTTAGTTTTTATATTATTCGACGTATGTATATGTATGTCAGTTGTTAATACACAGGTCAATAAATCGATCGTTAGCATTTGCAAAGTTTAAGATTGCACTTTCTTATAATAACTATTACAGAAATACAAGTCTATAAATTAATATCAATATGTAAATTAAAATTTGATAATCTTTTGTCATCACCATTACAGTCACTTTGGAATGTGAAAGTTATTTGATAGTATTTATTTTTTGGAAGAACAAATAGCATTAAAAATGTGTATGTAAAAAAAAAAGCCAAATCCATAGACAATAGAGAAATAAAAAGGAAAAAAGTGTTTGGAGGGAAACATTATTTAGAATGAACGCCTTTTTATGGTAATTATTTTTTTTTATCTGTCAATGGTGTATCATATAGTATAATTGAGGCCTATAAAAAATTTAATGCAACTAAATCCAAGACTGTCAAATCTTCAGGAAATTACAAAAACTAATACTTTGTTAAGGATATGGAACGATATTTTATATTTTAAACCATATTGAAAAAAAAAAATAGAATATTAGAATTTAATTAATAGGACTTCTGATTAAGAGAAATATTTAAGTACAGAGTGATAAGAAAATCAATTTTATGGCGTTTAGCTTTGATTTTATACGCCTCAATTGTATATGCAAAATAGGGAATAAGTAACTGTGACTATCTCTATAGAAGACAATTTAAATTTTCATATCTCTAACATTTGTTGGACTGAGATAGAAAGAGAGAGGAAGAGAGAAAGAGAGAGAAATGTCAGTTGGTAAAGCTAATTATATTTAAATTATAGTAAATTTGCCATAACAAATTGTTAGGACAACATGATAATAAATTTATCTCTGTCAACAACTAAAATGAAAATAAACAAAGTGACTTATACAGGTTGTGATTCTAAAAATACTGCAGCGTCAATGTCATTGAGTTGTGAGCTGTTTTTATTATGAGCAATAAATTCTTATCAGAATTAAACAAAACATACTATATTGTTTGCCTTTTACGTCGCGAGTGAGTTTAGTAAGCGTTTACACGTAAATGTATACAAAATACATACACACATTCAATGTTTGTGACACATACAGACGATTAAATGTTCATACACCTGCGCTTATAGAAGATTCAGCACTAAATCTGATGCATGTATGAATATGAAGTAAGAATGAAGCAGAGGAATAACACCTGAGTCCTCAGGAACGGCAACGCGTGGGGGGTATCATGGGTGAAACAGTATACTCTGTTATGTCCATGGTACTGCTCATATCTATAGCAGACGGTTACCATTTTCCATCAAATGGGCCGTCAGCTTGTTTGCCATTCTAAGTTGTATAAAACAAAACAGACTTAGCATGTAAGTTGTGTTTTTAAGAGTTGTAAATTTCTGTATAAAATAAATAAATAAATAAATAAATAAATTACATGCGTTGTTGCGGGAGGCGTTCAAGAACTCAATTGAGTTATGTCAATTGTTAATTCTAATGTACTATTTGTAAACGATAAAAACAAACGGTAATTCATACAAGCATCAGGTTTAGCATCTATGATCACATAAGGGCCGAACTATAGGCCAGGCGCGGACACAGCCGGGACATTGGAGGCATATTTGATAATATATACATTTTTAGTCCCATTAATAAATACGAAAGTTTATAAGTATGGATACATGTTTGTTACTATTTCACGCAAAATCTACTGAACATGTTTGAGTGTAATTTGGTTCACGGACAGGTTATATACCAACTTAGCTAATAGCATACGAGTACTTTATGTACTGATGCATACGGGCGAAGCCGCGGTGTACAGCTAGTACTTAAATTTGCATATTACCTATTTGTGACGTGGTTTATTTTTAAACTAGCTCCGGCTTCGCACGGGTGCAATGCTGATACTAAATAGCGCCCCCCCCCCCCCCCCCCCCATTACATTACAACATCACATTAGAAACCTTTAAAATTATCAATATTTCTCTACTATATTCTGCATGTTATTATCTTACCTTTATCTTAAATCACTCTATCTATTAAAAAAAAACCTCATTAAAATCCGTTGCCTAGTTTTAAAGATATAAACATATATAAGGACAGACGGGATTCGACTTTGTTTTATACTATATATTTTTGTCATAAATTTTTCATCGCTCATTCATGTGTCTGATAATCAAAATTCTAAAATGGTCATCATTACCTTATTAATGTGTATTAAGTACCAATTAATAACTGATCATAAAAACAATAAAATCAAATAATGCCCCGCCGCTTGTCTATTAAAAAGGAATCCTGTGTGGGCGCGTGTTGCGGCAGGGTACGTATCTAATTGTTGCCGGTGACGAGGTCTGCGAGCCGCCTTACCAGGGAGTCGTCGTGCGAGGCGTGGCTGTGCGTGGACGAGCGCGACGGGCTGCGCGGCGAGGCCGACTGCCGCCGGCCGCCTCCCCCCGCGGCCGCCACCAGCGCCGGCGGCGGCGGCGCCGTGCAGTTCGACGGCACCTTTACTGCGCACCGCTTGTGGTAATTCTGACCGCATCCTGCCGGTACAGTCACATGAATGGTCAGCTAACCTCCGACTTTAAGGAAGAAGGGATTGTTAGTAATGGGGAGGTTAGTCCCCATAGCTATCAATATATCTTATCAGGTCGACCTCCACGCGGGTCCCCCTGGAAACCATCGTGACAACTTTATGGCCCAACGCCAACGATGAGCTAATTGACCTGCCTTTTCATTCTCACGAATCATCCCTCATTAGCGGCCTGCCATTGTATATCGATAGCCCAGGCAGGGTTACCATTCCATTATCATCCATAAAAAAAAACTCCGATTATAGGGATTGTTAATAATGGAGACTAAGACCCCGATTGCTAGCAATATCCCCAACCAGGTCGACCTCCACGTGGTCCCCCTTGGAAAACATCGTGCTGATTTCCAGGGGTACTCATCACAATGGGCTAACTGACCTGCCTTTTCATTCTCACCTACCATCCCTCACTGGTACTCCGCCAGCGTATACAGTTAGCGAAGGCCAGATTGAAACTAATTTACAAAAGTTTGTCCGCTAAATTATTCGACTCCATGAAAATCGAACCTAGGACCTCATTACGCAAAGAAGTACCAAATGCTACGTCTATTTTTTTTTGTACAATTTAGAATGGCAAACAAGCTGACGGCCCGCTTGGGTACTTCTGTTGCATTCATGTTTCAACCGTGAAGCAGTTGTGTTTGCATGGCTGTGTTTCGGTTTGAAGGATGGGGTATGCAGTGAATTTACAGAGTACAGAGGAGTGACACTCGAGTCCTCGGGAATGACAACGCATGGGGGGTATCATGGGTGAAACAGTACACTCTGTTATATCCATGGTACTGCTCATGTTTATAGGCGATGGCTACCACTTTTAATCAGGTGGGCCGTCAGCTTGTTTACCATTCTAAGTTATATAAAAAAAAACAAACAACTTGGTTGCAATTATGCAAATGCTAGCGAAAAGACAATCCATAACTGTAAGGTATCGCGCAGGACTGGGAAAGCAGACCCCAAATACACTGGGATAACAGCCAGGAGTAAGAAGAAGTGGATCCTTATCTATGATGGACAGAGCTACATTTTCAGAGCTGTATCCGTTACCTTCACACTTGAGCCCCTGGCGCACGAGTCCGAACAGCATCTCGCCACAGAAGTCGCAGAAGGTGGGCGCCTTGTACGAGTGCACCGCGAGGGCGTGCGGCCGCGGCGGCGGCGCCTCCAGCATGCCCTCGCATAGCAAAGCTGGAAGTAAGACAGCGTAAATTAAACACACTACCCTTAATTATTATTTGTCGTATGTCGACAGTTTGTGTGGTAGCTAAGATGACTGGCAAATTATATTCAGTCAGTTTTGGATGAGTGAGAGCTCTCGGGTCCGCGATATCTTTTTATAGAGGTTTCTCACTAACCCGAGTTTCTAGCTTAAAGAGTTACAGGAGGGGTCTATCTTACTTATAAAGGTGCATAATTAAAAGAACTTTCTTCGGATTTTCGGGCAAAATAAATAACCGGTCTTGTTGTTATCGAGATTCGAGCTTAGTAACATATTTAGCGATTCATATGTACAAGATCGATCAATTATTTTTGAAAATATATTCTTAATTCTTAGGTTGCCATGAGCGTTCTGTATTGTGAAAATAGTGGTGGTAATGGTACGCACGGTTGGCGGTGAGCACGATCTCGACGAGGGTCTCGTCGGTGACGTCGGTGGCGCAGTTGATCAGCTGCAGCACGTTGGGCGAGCAGTAGTCGTGCCGGAACAGCAGGATGCGCTCCGGCAGGCGGTTCAGACCGTTGTCTGGGATCTGACAATACACAATACATAGTTATAGCATCTGTATATCAGTGAGATTGCGAAATAACCTGAAGGTACACATGAACAACACTCATGGTTATCAGTTATGATTGTCGCTAAATTTTTAAACTACGCCAAAAGGTAAAAAATAAACACAAACACACGTACTCGGTCACGCATACACGCACGCATGCATACACACAGTGGATGCAGGTGGGTTAGGACCGTTCCTTATGGTATTCTATGGGGAAGGCCTATGTCCAGCAGTGGACAGCGGCTAATATCATGATAATAATGATGATAGCATCTTGTAATTTTATACTAGCCATTTGAATTATTCAGAGGATTATAACGACTTTTCAGTATTCACTGAAAAGTCGTTATAATCCTCTGAATTTTTTCTAAGTATATAGGTTAAAAAAATGGTACTGTGGGAATCACAGCATGTTCAGCTGTAAAATTAGATTACTAATATGTTTGATTTTTTTTTCAATGTTTATGAAAAAGATTCAGTTTTACTGATAGAAAAATTGCCAAGGTTTTTCCTAGAGACTACGGTATGAGGTTCTTCAAAGAGAGTATTAAGGTTTCTTCAGAGTCGGCAATGAGCACGTGACACCCCTAGTGTTTCAGGCGTCCATAGGCTACAGTGACAGGTTACGGGTCTTTTTTTGCCACTTTCGTGATATATAAAAAAAACAATAGTTCCTTAAAAGGATAGTATTATGATGTTATTTTGTACATACATACGAAAAACATACCCTATTATTGGTAGCAAGGTGCATCGGTTTATTTCGTCTTTTTGAAGACGAGACTTTACGTGTATATTAATTAGAATGCTAATGAATTCATTCGTCATTCATTCACTCTAAGTCTCATAAAAAATAATACCTTGTCGTGCACGAACTTGACGGCGAGCTCCTTGAGGTGCGAGAGCGTGAGGAGGTGTGCGGGCGCGGAGACCGCGTCACGCAGCACGCCCAGCTGGAACAGGAACGTCACCTCGTCCTCCATCGCCGCTCACGGTGTCCACGCCTGCTGCAAACAATACAAACAATATGTTGTATATACATGTTTATTACCTAAGTGGTATAAAAACTGACCATTTTTTTATGCAACTTATAAAGAAACATAATCATAATAATTTTGCATTAGCAAGTATACAGATATCGACTTTTCATCAATTGGAATGCGAAACAACTGACAGCCTACAGACATGAAAAATATGAACATAATAGAATAGACAGTGACGTCCATACGTTGTCATTTTTAGGTACCTTTCATTACACATACGTGTAGTAAGAACCTATGATTTGTGTATAGATTAAACGACCAGAGTTCTTAATTCAGCATAGCTAGAAATGGCAGGTTATGAACCCGTACCCACTGTTATTAGTGTTGATATTCTGGGAGATCCCATGGAGATGCCACAGATATGGAGCTAGCTTCATTTAACGCAAAGCTACACAAACCAATTTTCTTCACAAATTTTAGTTACAAAATAATATTAGAGCAAATTTATTTATTCATTAGTAAATGTATGTGTACATGGCGGATTTAATGGTATAAGTATTCACTCCCAGTCGCCAATAGGGAAGTGTCAGAATACATATATTTAAAATATGCTTTGCATTGAGAAGCTGTAAAAAGGATAAAAATAATAAAAATTCAAAACTAATAAAAAATAATAATTGTTCACTTTAGATGTAATAATTGCATGGCAACACTCTCCATAGTTAATAGGAACATTACAGTGTCGTATGTGGCAATTTACCAATATTTGGAAGTAGAAAGAAAAAAAAAAAGGTTTTTGGTATCTATCTGTTCTTAAAACAGTAATTTAACAGTTTTTATCGTTGTCCTCTTTTAAATATTTAAAAGGTAAAGAATTTAATTCACATAATTAACATTTATCGGTTAATTCAAGATAGAAATCGTTAGTACTTATAACATTTACGAGGTAATCTCAGGTAACTTTAGCATACTTTTGGGAAGTGAGCGTGTGTATGTTAATGTTAAGTGAGTATGTTATAAGTCAGTTAAAGGGATTTTCAAAAATCAAAGGGTAAGTCATTTGAAATTAATTTGCATCTAGATAGTAACTTTTATAACAATTTATTGTTATCGCATTCTTATGTCGAATTTATTTTTAAACCTTGTCGTACATTTACGTTTTTCAAGGCACTTTCTTGCACGCACAACCACTCTTTAGAATCAACATCCAGCAACAGTATTTCCGAACCAATACGACATCATAAGCTTTAAAAAAAGAGCATAATCCTTTTTAAAAGGCCGGCAGCACACCTGCAATGCCGTTGGTGTTGTGGGTGATCATGGGCAGCGGTAGTCACTTACCATCAGGTGAGCCGAATGCTCGTTTGCCCCCTGTGTTGTAAAAAAAAACATACAGTCCACTTAATTATATTCTCGCACAATAATAAATATACACAATAGAAAACCTTTTATATAAAATTAACACTTTTATAGAAATGAGTCACTCAAAAGATAGTAATTACAACATGACAAATTAAAAAAAAAAAATTAAAACATATTTTCTTCCAGCATTTTACTCGTATCTTCTAGAGTAATAGAAGAAAAAAAAAACACTAAGATTATATTTGACCTATATAACTAATAGTTATCTGAAACTGTTTTGGTTAATAACGTCAACCGGTCACTCTGAGGACAGGTTAATTGAGATTTGCAAAAAAAAAAAACACTATTGTAAACAGTTGCCGTATCATCAGGGGCAGGTTAAAAGGTATTGCATTGTACAGATAACTGCGAAAAGCCTAGATCGCCAACATTTATACAACTTATTTATTTATTCATTAGTACATATATGTGTACATGGCGGACTTAATGCTAAAAGCATTCTCTCCCAATCAACCATAGGGAAGTGTCAGAATACTCGAATACTTAATAGGTTTTAACATTTCACAAGTAAATGAGACAATTTAAACGTAGATACTATCTTTTGAGAATGTAAGGTCTTTGTAAGGCATTGTTTTGGTGCAAGTTTTGTATGCCTATACAAAACTTGCACCAAAAAAATGCCTATGCAATGCAAAGCAAATGCTGCGCTAACGGTATATACTGGGGCGGCACCAGTAAGAGATGATCAGTGAGGATGGAAGTAGGTCAGTTAGCTCATTGTGACGAATCCAGCAAGAGTTAATCAATAGTTTACAGGGGGAACCTCGTGAAAGACGATCTGATAGGGTTTATTGCTAGCATTGGGGGATTATTTCTTTTGTAGTTTGTATTTTGACGGCTCTCAGTGATGTATCATTATTTTTTTACTATTGTTTGTAAAATCACTCCCCCCCCCCTCCCTCCTCCAGAAGGAAATAAGATTTTAACGTCCGGTAGAAGCGGTTGTCTTCAGTTCAGGGCCATATAATTATGCATTATTAAAGCACAATCATCTGCACTGATTGGATTGTAATTGGATGCAATTTTCAAGATGACGATGACGCTGTTAATTCATTTGATAACTAAATGCGAATTATTCGCCGCGACTATAGTTGCGTACGAGTATGCAGGGGGATCTAACATGAAATGAAATTCCGAAATTTTGGACTTAATTTCGTGTTTTCATTCACACCGAAAACGGCCCAGTAAGTACAGCTTAACATTTCGTTCGTCACATACACTACTGTAAATGTCCGAATGAATGATACTTTTTAACAGATTCAATGTTTTTAAAAATTATGTCGTAATTTTTTTTTTAATTCGTAAATATTTTTAAAAATATTTCGTGAATTTAACATCAAATTTTTGTTAAGTTCTGCACCGAAATTTCGGAAAACGTTTCATGGTAGTCCCTCAGATTGTGTTGTTCGGGCGTGACATTGAGCTTCTAAAAGCCAATTAAATCGCCAATCATGGTTGTCAAATGACGTAACAAAATACGAAGTAGATGCAAAGTTTTTAATGATTGATTTATATGCAACGTTTTAGTTCGTTAATTAACGCTTTAGTTCTCTAGCAGAGCATTTTAATCAATCGGAAATATTGAAAGATCCGTCTACCAATTTCACGCGCACAATATCTCGGGTGGTAATAATGATTAAAACGAATCAATATGTACTTACAAAATGTATTTATTAAATTGGACAGGTTTACAAATCCGTCAACAATATTGCGTGGTGGCTTATCAGGTGCTCCTCTGTTACTGTAGGTACGCTGTGTTACTTTCGCCGGCGCCAGCGGTCATCCGACTTTGATAATTCATCGATTTCAACGCGGATTTTCCCGCTGTTTTTAGTGATTCATATGTTATGACCTTAATTACATTTACGTACATGTTATCCTAGGTAGCGTCACAGAATTTGTTAAACAACGTGATAAATTGGACTATTTCAAGCTTTTCTGTCATATAATATTCTACTATAGAGTTCGCTAAGATAGTTTTGACAGCAATATCCTTTACCCCGTCAGGGCAAAGAGGGCACTTCACGAAGGATATCTTTCATTCGTGCATGCTCGTTTCATTTTTACAAAATCTGCAAACTAAGATTAACAAATATTTAGTTTCCAGTATCCACAGTGGGTGTATTTGTTCTTAGACAAATATTGTTTTTTTTTTTAAGAACATATGCAGAACAGTCTGCAGTCACGGCTGCGTGTATTGACTCACTGCAATACATTCGAGATCGTCATTTCTTCTATTTACACTATACAGCGTTAGAACGTACGACATTATCATTCATTCGAATTACGTTCGATCCTACTATGAGAATATAAATCATGCAGCAAAAATTTGATTACATGCTTAGAGTTTTAATACGGATTTATATATGTACTAGCGGCCCGCTCCGGCTTCGCACGGGTGGACATTTTTACATTTTAAAAGTGATTATTGTGACATAACGATAATAGTTGGAGATATAGTTTCGCGAATTTTTTTATAGATATAGATATTTTCTTCAATATTGTAGAACATACTTTTGTTCCATCACCAACAGTTTCCGCAGCGCATGCGACGAAAGATATTTTATAGCATTTTTTTACACCTTGAGTTACGTTACTAAAGTTTTAATAAGGAGCCCTAATCTTTTCTAGCAGGGGAAAGGGATTGTTAGTAAAGAAGACTGAGAATCCCATTGCTAGCAATATACCCAACGAGGTCAACCTCCTCCGGCAGTTCTCCCTGGAAACTATCATGGTTAATTCCTGATGAATTCATCATGATGGGGTAATTGGCCTGTTTTCATTCTCATCTATCACCCTTCATTGGTGCTCCACCAGCGTATCCCGTTAGCGCAGGTTACCATACTATTTTCACGCATCAAAAAAAAATCTTTTCTATCAATAAATATATAGCCTATGTTACTCAGGGAAAATGTAGCTTTCTAATGGTGAAAGAATTTATGAAATCGGCAAAGTAAATTTTGAGTTTATTCATTACAAACATATACACACACAAAACTACAATTCTTTCCTCTTCATAATACAGGGTGGCCCAAAAGTCCTTAGAAAAGCGATGGAGCGTTTCACCGGAGCGGACCGTGCGTTTTGTGTGCGCGAGTTTTATCAAAACAACAATTCGGCAACCGTTGCGAGGCGTAAATTTCGAGAACACAAAGGTTTACACAACTTTGATGACACCCCAGCTCTCCAAACGATTAAGAATTGGGTTGCTAAGTTCGAGGAGACCGGTTCGACGTTAGATAAACCGCGGTTGGGTCGCCCAAGGACATCACGTACGGAACAAAACATCGACACAGTGGCACAATCTATTCGTGAAAATCCTACACAGTCAACTCGTAAGCGTTCCAATGCATTAAACGTATCCAGGACATCGTTACAATGGATTTTGAAGAAAGATTTACTTATGCACCCTTACAAAATTCAGTTGGTGCAAGAATTAAAAGAAACTGATGCTATTCAGAGAGTGAATTATGCTAATGAAATGTTTAATCGGTTTACTTCGTTCAATAACATAATGTTCTCTGATGAGGCACACTTCCACATTAACGGACATGTTAGTAAACAAAATTGCCGCTATTGGAGCCCGATTAATCCAAAACTTA